AGGTAAAAATTCAATATTTATAGTTTAGAACCTACCTCTATGAAAAGTTCTTTAGAAAACAAAATGCATCCTGCGGAAAACAGGATTTGTTTGAATATATTGTACCTGAACATTGAGTTCAATTTTAATTGGGGAGGGGGGGGGGAGAGTATTTGCCCTGCCAAGGTGAGCAGCATTTTCTAGAGATGTTTAGAACATATGTTGGAATATAGATCAATGGAGTTAAACTTAACAATCAAAACTTACTTTTTAATTGTAGCATGCATCAGATCAGCTTTAGTTCTATTCCTAACAACTCCCTGAAGAAGTATCTTTTTAGAGAATTTCCCAAGCTGAGAGCTTGTTTTCACAACCTTAAAAATAACCTTTTAGGAATTTCACTGGCATAGTTTTATAATGCCGTGTTCCACATTCACGTAAGCATTAGTAAAGACTAAAACGCAGGTGCAAGGACATAGATATATACACACTGCTGTTCAGAATAAAATAGCATTTGGAAATATTCAAGAAAAAGGACATGTTAAAGTTACACAGGTGACATGTAAGTACATTGAAACGTTACTTTCACACATGTTTAAACTCATAACTTAAGCCTCTTTAGATTATTTCTATACTACAACTTCTAGCAATTAATCTTGTCTTTATAGCCTGAGTTTAAGGCCTTTAAGACACAATCTAGCTACACAACAAAAAGATAAGCTTGAGGCACAAGTGTGATGCGAATAGCTGCACAAAAATAAGCAGAGTTGTGGTCAGGTACTGTTGCAGGTCTGACTCAATGCAGTTTTCTCCATCAGGGAGTAAATTTACATTTGAGAATCTTCATCAACTCAAGGACCTATATCACACGTTTGGAACTCTTTGTTGAATCAGGGTAGCTTGAGCTAAACAGGTAAACTTTTTCATGTGTTGAAGGCATAACTAATAGGAATGCATAATCAAAATTATCCAGGCCCAAGTGTAAGAAGTTCATCAACACTGAGTGAATGTAGATTTTAATTCATATTCTTATGGAAAAGGAAACTTCTTATCTAGCAGAAGACTATTTGTCCTTTTTATATTTAAGTTACTATCAAACAGGTCTTACCTAAAAGTCATAATATGTCCATTGGCACAGAAACATGCAAGGCAGATACTGTTACTCAATGACACTATGTCTCCACGAAGAACAAAAGAAGTCTCTGTTATGTTTTGCTTATAAACACAGTTCTGGGATGGCAGTGAGATAACTTTTGCTTGCTTTTCTGAACATATCACTGCATATTGGTTTTCACTGATTTCCTGAGAGGAAGAAGGGGACACTGAGACAGGTCGTCGCTTTTTCGATTTCTCTTTTTCATCTTTATCTTCAGGAACATTGTGTTCTCTCCAGGGTTCATGTGCTGGTGGGACCAAAGATCCTGTGGTATCTAGAAAAGCCATTCTCAAGATTGCCCCTTTTAGCCTCAGGATGGTTCCTAGGATAAAGAAATTGAGCACATTTCTAAAACAGTTCTCCTAAACTGTCTTTCAAGCTACAAAATATTTCTTTAAGCCAGCAAAATGAATAAAAAACGCAAGAGCTTAGGCTTGCCTCTGTAGCAAAACATATACCAAAACCTTTGATGTTTATCTAAAACCCAATGTAGCATGTTCAAGAGCACACATATATTCAAGAAAGTGTCAAACCAGTTTTCAAGGGTTAAGTGCATGCATACCCTTCCATTAACTTCAAAGGAAATATACACATTTATTAAGAAAGCCAAGCTGGAATGCACATTTGTATTCAAATTCAGCATCACAAATGCAATTCTCTCCTGAGGAGGACACACAGTGGTTAATATCAACAATAAATGTTTAGTCCAAGGTGAGCACCTCCTTTTTCTCCAATATAGACAGGTTCAGAAACAAACAACATGAAGTTTTTCTGCTGCAGTTCACATTTGAATCCACTTCTCTCTAGCATAAAATGAAAGAGGAAAAGTTTTTCCTCCCCACTGTTTAAATCAGTGTCTCTGTAGGCCAGATCTTAAGCTAATACATTTCTTATTTTACTTGCATTTATTCACATGCAGGTAAACCCATGAACATTTGCCAACACTGCAATTTGCATGTCCTGATACCCTCCATCTGTGTGAGCACAGTGGAGCACAGCAGCATGTTCTGCATGAGACAGCGGTAGCAGAAGAGTGAAATATATGCCTAACAACACTTTCAGCAAGGCATTAACACATAATTACAACAAAATCAGCTGCTGTGTATCAGAAAAACAAGACAAGACCCCTCACAGCAATCCAAAGGAATAGTTTATCACTAATATTTAAAGCTAGTTGTTCAATATACAACCCTTAATTTGTATTCCCTTTTCACGACACAGGAAAACTGAAAGTTTCCTACCTCATGACTCAAAAAAGAATTACTTGAGTATTTGAAATACCCATCTGCTCTGCTGTTTCTGTTTAACAACTGTCACGTACTACATTAAGGTTAGAAAACATGCTTTTCTCAGCAAGTATACATTGAAGTGGTATTTTTATATTATATTAGGTCATGTTTTCAACTTTGCAACTTTAAAACTCTGGTAATGAAGTAACTAATCTAGATTGTTAACCTTTGTAGATAATTCGATGAAGTATGTATTAACTTTCAATTAATCCATAATTAAGAAAAAGTGTCTTAAAAACCCCAACCATCATCATTAATACTTTATCAAAGTATACTTTAGCCCATCTGCTTTGTACTTACCACTAGGAGAAACAATTACTGGCTGAAGAAGTCTTTGCTCTCCTCCTGGGGGTAAATTCAGTACAATGACAAGCACTGTACCCAGCGTGGTCCCAACCCACAGGCATGGGGAAGGTGATGTATCAGCCTTTCTTGTGAAAGTCTCACAAAAATGAAGAGCTGAAATTGCCTCGCGTGACTCCTTATCAATGCTAGTTACACTAGAACTCCGGGATCGACTGAAAGAGTTGTCTTTGACATCTGAAAAGAAATCAGTATAATGAAAAAGAATGGCAAAATGCAGGCATTAAGAGAATTCAGATTTTCTTTTTTGTTCTTTAGCATGAAGTATATACTATCATTATATTGATTATTACTCCTGTATTCTTCCTCAGTCATATTTCTGTCCAGGCCAGTTTTCAATACCTGTATCCTGAACAAAGTGCCCAATCTTTTTTGGCAGAGGTTGCCGTTAGGTAATTGTCATGCATATTACTGTCTTCTTGGGACAGAGAACAACAGTTACCAAACAGGACTCCTCCTCTTAAAAAACTGAATTACAAATCTCTCTGCCAATTAGTTCATTTACCAGATTAAAAAACAATGGCTTCCATGGAACATGGTTTAGTAATCCTATGAAGATGCAACTATTTTAGTTTAAGAGCAGCAGTGATAGCCAGACATCATGATAACACGTAACCTGTAATGACTCGCAATAATATTGTCCCACTTTAGGAAACTGTATGGAGGATACCTAACAGGCTACTTGTATACGCCCAAACTTTTAGCAAAAGAAACATCAAATGATACCAAGTGCTGCCTGGCATTGGTATGCAAAGCTGAAGATTTCCATTTTAAATACAGTACTGTAGTGCCAGAAATGGCACTAAAACTTTACAGGACATCTTGCTCACTGCTTAGCAAATAAGGTTCTCGTAACAGAGAATGAATTTTAACATTAAAAAAGCTCAGATCAGTAAATATGCTGCTCCATTCTAGCTGTGTGCTGTCTGTACATGTGGTGATACTTAACACATCAGCATGTCTCAATTTATCTACACATTCACGCGTTAATGCTTTACTAACCTCATCATTCCAAAACTTTAGCACAAGACAACCCTTACTAGTAAAAGTTTGATACAATTTATATAATGATTTTTTAAAAAATAAGTTATTGTTTTGAACCTTTGGATAGGGTATAGAGGCAATTAGCATTTTTAAAGCGAGATTAAGAGCTAAATAGAAACATTTTAACCACATACTTTCTGGAAGTATCACTATGCTAATTTCATTAAATTATTGCAGAACTTTCTACAAGGAACATCTAACATGCATTTGAAAAGCATGCAAACGAGAATTCAACTGACTAAATACAGACATCTACTCAACACAAACAGTGAATCTTCTCAAGAGACACTCGTCTCATTCCAACAAGGATAGGAAAATTATTGTCCTGCCAAATTTTAGCTAAGTCAAGTGTAAAACATGGATTATAGAAAGAAACTAAGTCAAAGACTCAGATGTTGACATCCTAAGTTTTCACATTTAAAAAAATCAAATCCAGGGTAAAAACAATTAAAAAATTATTTGTTTTTATAATTCTTCTAATGACCACAACCTCTTAAGATGCTCGTTTCTTCAGGTTTCAATATTTGCTAACTTAATGTTTTTTAAACTCTTAACATGGATTAATCAGTCTGAATATAATAATACATTAACTCCAAGATGCATAAAATTAAATGTGCATTTGTTGAGTTGCATCTGGCTGAATATTTGAAGAGCATGTATACATATTCCAGAAACGCAGGAATGGACGGGAAAAATCCCATAAAAATTTTTCCAGATAATACAGGATTTACGGAGAGCGGACAACTTGTTCAGAAGAGAGAATTGAGAACCAAGAGTTTAACTGCTTTAGTACATATTATTTATCCTGAACTCAAGGAGGAATCTATGGTTTGTTAATGGATTAGTTTCAGACGAAGAGGAAGGAACAACAGTGTGATGACCCACTACGCACCACTTCATCAGAAAGATGAGGCTCTTTTGAGCAAGTAAACCAAAGGATAGGACCCAATGGCAACGGTACCTTAATCATCTGAATTACAACATTGAAAAGCAATGGTATAATGCAGACTAGACTATGTTCCAGATAACTTGTTTTGGAAAATAGAAGATAAATACAGAAGCACATACTTTAGATTTTGTTTTGGCTATTCATGGAGGAAAACAGATCTAAAGACAAAAGTAATTTGAAAGATGATGATCATGGAAAAGTAGGTTTCAAGAACCCACGGAAAAGGAGAGAAGATAAGGATAATGAACTTCAGAGAAAGATATTTCGGCTGTCTCCTAGATCCAGTAGATACGGCAGCATCAATGACAAGAAAATACAAGCAAGCTGACAATCTCTGAAGAACACTATGGAAAAGCTATCCCACTAGGATAAAAGATAAAAGTAAAATGAAAAAAAATAATTGTTTGAGGAAGTTATTTACAGATGTGCAAACCCAGAAGAATTTTACACAGAACAAAATAAGGCATCTACACATATGCAAAGTCAAGTAAAATCAGTCAAAGGCTATTACAATTCTGAAGGTATGAACTATTTTATGAGTATAGCAGAAGATGACAAAAAAGTTTCCGATATTTCAGTAGAAAGAACAGCAAATATTAAATAATGTAGAAAATGCTGAAACTCTCAGGATTGGAAAATGCTGAAAGAATTTCAGCATTCTCTTTTCTCCAGTGTTCATTAAGAAAACTTCTAAGTGCTTATTGCTATCAAAGAACTGGGAGTAAACCAGCAGCAGAATTAGAATGAATTAGATAATATTTAAGTACAAATGTGCTCCCATTTGCAATGTATGATAAAATTCACATGAAACTGAAATCATCCCTAAACCATTAGTAAACATAGTAAGGACGAACAGACACAGACTGAAAAGACAAATCAAATATTTCTGCTCTTTCATGCCAACAAGGCCACAGTTAAATCCTTCTAGTTCTGAGCACAAGAGTTTCAGAAAGATAAGGAAAAATTCCAAAAGGAGATTATCAGAAGCCATCCTAGATTTAAACTGCATAAGCTAAAAAAGGAGAAGGAACTTAACTTTGTAAAAAAGTTATCTGCAAAAATGAAGATTAGAGATATGAAGACAGCTTTCAACAGCGTAAAAGATGGCTAACAAAGATAAGGAGCCCTTGTTATCCCTGTTCATTGTGCAAAGGACACAAAAAAAGTTAACATGGAAGCAAGGAAGATTGATTAAATAACAGGAAATTTGTCTGACTACAGAACACTGGAACTTTCCGTCTGGGATTTTTCTAAAAACTTATTTATTGGAGGCTCATGAATAGATGAGAGGTTAAATTGTCAGACATCTGGATCCTTGCCACAGCAACGGATTAAAGGATCTCTGAGGGTTCCTTCCAACTTCACATTTCTCTGAGTGGAGCAAGCTGTAATTATAAATCAGGGTGGTCCAGCTCAGTTTCAGGATATCCCAGTGCCATGGACTCTTTCCTTGCTGATAGCAGCAGTTGTCAAATACACAGTTCTGCAGCTGCCAGTCTGATCCTGGTCTGTCTTCTGCTGGGGTGGTTGTAGCAATTCTGCTGCAGAGGGGGAAGTGAGCTGTGGCAGGCAGAAGACAGCTTTCACATGCAGGCTGCATCTGGTGCTGCAGGTCTACAGCTGCCCCCCATCATCTTTAGAGAACAAGGCAGGGGAGCTAGAACCGATCTACAAGCTGGCAGTCAACTTATGATGACTAAGTACTAAAAAAAAAAAATAAATCCACTCATTTGCTGTTTTAGTTGTGCAGGACTTCACAACTGAACTACGTATTATATAAAAAGGTACCGTGCTTTTTCAGGAAAAATTAAATTCTCAGACTGGTCATCCATCCAAACAGCTGTATATTACTGTCATTTAGAGAGAGTGGTCACAAGATAATTAACATTTTTAAAACTATGTCCAACTATCTGTTGAATGGACCTCAACATACGCTGTTTTTCTTAAGGTATTTAATTTTTCAATTTAAAATGTAATCCTAATGGTCCTAAACAGGCAGCAATTTTTCGTACATTACCTGCTTTTTCACACTTTTGCTATCACAGCACTACTGGTAAAGTGAGTGACAGATGACTAAAAATTTTGACGGAAGCGTGATAAGCCATGTACAAGATTTGCAGGCTTACCTTATGATGACAGCAATGACATTTTGTGCCTGAGAGCCCCCAGAAAGAGCTGAATTAAAATCTTAGTTCTACACTTCAGATAAATGCAACACAAAGTCATGATAGTTTACATAAGTTATGACTCTAATGTACATCGCATTCTGTAAAACAGTTTTAGAAAAATAAAATCAACTATGTAAACTTACCTAAATCAGGCTTTAACTCAGTTGGCAAACTTAGCTTCCTGGACATCTTTGCTGAAAAGTGAAGTATATCTTTTTTTTAAAAAGAATAAACATGACTCTGCTGGCCTTTATTTGCCTCTTTCCCAATATTTAATATATAATTGCTTATTACATTAATTGCAGTACTTAACAGGTTTTCTACTAAAGCAGAGCTTCACTTCCACAAGGGAGGGGTGCAAAGTAAAACATGGAAGATACCAAAATCCCCAAATACAGCATTTAATGACTTTTGCCAAGCTTCGTTTCTCCTCAGGCTTCAGGCAGAACTTAATGGGTTGCATGAATTTTGCTTTGGCTCAACCTCAAGTTTTAGCTCCGCAGGTGAGAGGACAGAATGCAGACTCTTGGCTACTGTAAGAACATGCGCTGCAGTTTACATAAAGTTAACATTACATCCCCTCTTCTTCTGGCCTATTTCCTGATCAAATTTGAGATATTTAAAATAGGGAAAAGATGAACTCTTATTATGCTAAAACACTAATGCACATGTGTAAAAAAACTGGTAATCTGAGATGCGATCCGTTCCTTTAGAAGAATGAAGATGTTACAGAGAATAATTATAAAAGCAGAAGCATAAACACTTGGGACGCCGTCAAACAAATGATAGTATAATTTGATAATATTGCCGTAGTAAGAAATAGCACTTGAACTCATCCCTGACTTGGAAAATTCTCCTTATAGGAATGGAAATCTTGTGGTCCATTTAAAATGCAGTGCGATACTAACAAATGCTGCTATACTAAAAGTCACTAGTAAACTAGCAGCCGTACAACCCTCCTCCGCCTTTCTTTCAATAATTACTAGAGAAGGAATAATTTTGATGTAGCTTAACTACTAGACCTGGGCTAGACTCTGAAGTTTTTTTCCCAGCCACATGCTTGAATTTTGATGCATCATTTAATTCTTCACTATCTTGGAAGGGTGACACTTCTCCACATAAAGTAGATGTTGAGAATAGCCTCATAATTCTAGGATTATGTTATAATGGATACCAGTCATAAAGCAGCCCGAATCTTGCCGCTTCTCTCAGCTAAAAATGGAGTTAACTCATTCAAATTATCATTTGAACAGAAATAATTGTTTTCTACATATCCTGAAGAGCAGCATGTGATTTAAAGTTACTTCCACTTCTTCAAAAAGTTAAATACTTCGTTGTATCATCAATTATGCTCATTAATATTGCAAATGCTAGTTATCTGAATAGTTGAACAGTTTTATTCCTGTCATACATTATAAAAATTTGAAAGTAAGACTCCAGAAATAATCTTCTAATTTCCTTCAAGTGTCAATGTTACAAAGTACGTCCTATTCAAATTAAACTGAAATTACTTACTCTCAGACTGAAATGCTAGTGCTTTAACTTATTTTAGTGCAGGCTGAAACTGAAAAGTGCAGTCCCATTACACATTTTTTTTACCCTCATCCTTGCACTGGCATCTGCCTATCTTAATGCTGAGGCCAAGCTCCTCGAAATTAAGTTTCTGCCAAAGGTTGTGTTCAACAAGATCAACTCCTGTTTCAGATCAGAGCTCAGCTATACAAACAGAAAATATGGTACAAAACACCAATAGTAACCAGTAACCATCTTTTTGCTGTCAGCTTGAACAGAGACCATGAAACCTCATTTGGAACTGTGAATTACAAGATGGGAGTTCTTCAATGTAAGATCTGTTTCCTATGTTAAACATGTAAATCATAAAAGCTGAGATACTGAAGTATGCACATAGAAAATAATTTGAGGGGGTTTTTTTTGGCTTTTCACAGCTTTTTCCACATGCGAATACCACCAATGTTTAGTTAACTTAGTCACTTTGAAGATCAGAGTGGTCACTTTTGGTTTTTCAAATAGAAATGTTTGACACACAATTTTAACTCGGAGAAAACTAACCAAACAAAAAAAGATACTAGGCAGCAGGTAATAAGTACAGGCAAGTGTGTTGGACTCTTAAGAGTCAATCCACAGTTTTAGCTTTTGGTTCCTAAGTGAAAGGCCACCTGTGTGAACTACGTCGATAAGGCAAAACGAATTTGTCAGACATTTTCTACAAACACTGAACTATGCCTCATTAATAAGACAAGAGGATACATGAATTGCTAAAAAGGACGTCATAGCTAGAAATTGTCAATGTGCTATGCAAAATTATACGTTTCAAAACATACATTAATGTGTCAAAAACCTCAATAATTCAAATGTAAATAGGAAACAAGAACCTATTTAAGTAGCAGTAGTGCCATCTCGTGTTTAAAGAAAAAAGTGCCTAAAGTTGCAGAAAGAAAATAGGAATATTGTGCCAGCTAAACCTTTTTTAACTAACATTATTTAGTATAAAAAAAAAAAACCTGTTTGTATTCATATCTGGCTTATGGTTTACAATAGTTTTAGAAAATTCAGTTTTAGCTATGCCTCAGATGAAAAACAGCAACATGCTAGACATCTACAACACAAAAGATACACATCAGAGCAACGGAAAAAAACAGGATGGAGATGTACAGAGACAGGGCTCAGTGTCAGGCTTTTTGCTCCAGTTGTACAACAGGGCTAAGGTGATGGTGACTGCTCCTCCTGGGTGTAGCTGACCTCAAGTACTAGCTATCATATCAGAGTTTAATACCTCTGGTGGTGCTGGTTGCTTCAGCATTTACAGCCAAGACTACCCTGCTGCAGCTGCTGGGAGACAAGGAGACAGAGACGGGGGAGCACCTCCTCGCACACTGCTGGCTTGAGGTAAGAATGACTATTTTGCCCGTGTTTACACCTACGTTTAATACTCCTCTAAATTAGAAAACCTAGAGTCATACACAGCCACACACACATTCTTTTTATTGCTTATATATATATATATATATATAAAAAATTAAACAAGTATGATATAGTATTATGGTATTTTAGAACTGTCAAAAAACAACCTTCAGGATTCTTAGAGATTTCTCATAGGTCAGGCTTGAAGGGGCAGGCATTAAAATATGAAAGTTTACCTTGGCGTAGCGTTTTATATTTCAGCATAGGAGGCTCAACCAATTCAATGAAGACTACCCGAAGGCTGAAACATGACTGAACTATCAATAGCAAGCTGTGGCTTCAAAATCATAGTTATTTTATTTGTGGTGGGTTATCCTGAGCTGATATTTTACAGTGACTAGCAAATCGGTTTGAAAGTTACAGTGATTTCTCATGCATTCCCTGTTTAAGGAAACGGTCTAACTTGTCTAAAAATATTCTAAAGATTATAAAGGACACAAGTGTCTCGGTGTTTTGACAGACAAGAGAAGAGGTTACATAAAGCCTATTTCATTTAACATTTCATGAAAAATAACTAAGCAGCTTAGAATTTGTTAGACATACCTAAGTTCCAAAATTATTCTCTATTTGACAACTGCACAGAAGTGAAAAATTTACATTACCCATTTCAAGATGCTTAAAGAATTGAATATTGTAGAGGTGAGAGTACAATGCAGAAATAGATTAACAATGCCGAAATCTTGAAATTTGATATAAGAATAGTAAAATGAGTTTACAGGAGAACATGAGATGTACTTGACATATCAACAATGAGATCGAATTATTAAAAACACATTGGAAGAAACAGTCTTACTCTGGCATTAGGGAAAACAAGAACTTATTATGAGCATCTTAAGCTTTGATTCCATGAAAACAGCATTAACAGTCAATGACTAGCACTGTTTGAAATATTTAGGTGTACACTTAGAATGTAACAAATGCGAAAAACTTTATGTCAATAGTAACAGCAGAGATAATAGAAGTTTGTAATTAATGCTACTCTGCTTAGATCTGCCTACTAATATTGTTTGCAATTGTTTTAAAATTTATGAACCACAAAAAATAAAACAATTTTTCCTGAAAAGTATTTGACACGTAGCCTACTGGAACAGTTCTGAAGGTCTTACAGTCTACAATATTTCGCATACACCTTTACTAAAGCTTCTTCCAGAAATAGATGTTACAATACCTCAGCTTCTGATCTGATTTGTAGCTATATATTTAATCACATGTATCTCTTCATGTCAAATAATTAACTGACCAAAGTGTGAGTAAAACAGCTTAAGATTTTGCTTCCACTGAAGCTGGATCACAATGCCTTTCTATAAAAATGACACAGCCTTAGAAATCAAACACTTCCTACCAATTATTCTTCCTGTAAGTTCATCTACATTTGGTACACTTCTCTGCACTACTTCACAGCACGTTTTTTATAATTTCAAGTATTTGCCATTCCTAAGAGCAATGGCTGCTTTTAATAATGGCCACAGTATTTTCTATGATCTCTAGAAATGCTTAGTTAAGCCAAGTATCTCCATACATCCAAGGTAATCACAACTATTCCAAAATTCACCTCTGATGCAAATAAAAGGGAAACAGGACCCAAAAGCAACATATTCACAATAGGTCTTTAACTTGAATGACTATCCATTCCTTAACACAGAACGTTCACAACTGAGTATTTAAAAAAAAAAGACCAACTGATCTTAACAGTATATAAGGCAAAGCTGCCGCTTTGGTACATGAAGCATTTACTTTTTTTTTAATTTATGCTATTGTTGCAGTCTCAGATGGTTTTTGATCCTTTAATGAAGCAAGAATGATACTTCCTACTACTGTCACTACTGACATAAAACTGTAGAAAGGAAGATGCCTCTATATGAGTTTCGATAAAGTGAATAAATTGTCAATGGCTTCATATTTCTAAATGCATGTGTATTATGTTGTCACCCTATCACTGAGATGAGATCACTTCTCACTTTGCAAGCAGTATTTCCTTACTCACTGCTCCCATATGACAAGAACCACAGGAGTGATACTAACAGCAACTGAAATTATCAATGTAAATAATTCTTGTTGTGTTTTCAAATCCATTTGAAAGGTTACATTTCAGACTGACAAAGAATGGAAGGAACTTGGACTGATTGCACTATATGCCAGTGTGAAGAGCTACAACCATGCTACATACACCAAATTCATCCATGTGAACACACCTGATTGTAAACAACTTGTTTCTTACAACATGGTGAAGTTAATGACAGTGACACATTTTACAAAACTCATTGTCCATTCAGATTTAGTTGGCAATTCAGTTTAAAATAATGAAATGGAAAAACGTGCAACTATTAACAAGTGTTTTACTTATGTGGAAGAGCTTAGAATGTAAGTTCAGAAAGAGCCATGCAGAGCAAACATGCCAGATAAGGTATAGAAAACATGTCAGTGAAAAAAAAAAACATTCCATGCACAGCATCAAACCACTCAAAACTAACAGAATGCAGATGAAATAATTTAATTTCTTTAAACTTCCAATAAACTGCAAGTTACACAAATCACAGTATGGGCTGACTGGGGGACGCTTATGAATTACACATCAAATGCATTATTGTCTCAATTAACTCTGCGTTCAACTTGCACCCTAAAGAATGCATTACATGTAAATAAATGTTTTGCTTTTTTTAGCTGTGAAAAACATTCACAATACTTTTAGTTGAAAGGCTTCAAGCTGAAACAGATGTCAATAGTTCTATAGAATTATCATTAGCATATTTTATCAATGCTGTACCATTACTCTTTAAAAAAGTGAAAAAGATAATGAAGTCATACTCAAACATACTATGTTTTTTGCACAAGATACGCTGTCTTAAATCCAGAAGAGACTGCTTTGGGACAAAAGGGAAACGCTACCTCATCAACAGGCATTGATATAACATGCATAAGATTAAGTGTGGCTTTTCTCATTAGAAGAACTGAACATAAGTTTCTAGTTAGACTGAATTTCCTTTAGGAGAACATATTAATCATGTTATACTCATGTAATTATTTTATTTTTTTTTTTAATTACAGATGAATTGACATAACGTATTCTTGACAGCCAGTTGCATTCTGGAACTTCAGGCTTCCACTGTCTCAGAACTCATCTTCCCTAACATTTCTGTTATCGCCGCAAGGAGGGCTCAACACAGTACTGAGCAAAGCACATATTCTTGCTGCTCTTAATTCTGTACCTCAAATTCCAAAGATGAATTCATCATACTCCTATTTATCTCACTGAATTTGGAATTATTCTTCTCAATTAACAAATTACGATGAAAGGGTTTAATGGTTTAGGATAAAAGTTAAGTTGCCAAACAGAAAAGCAAAGGGAGACTACAGAAAAAGAAATCTCTTCCTCCCTACCCTTAACCTATAGTTCAATGCAACCTATGAAATAGTAGTTTAGCAAAAAGTTTTCTAATATAAAATAATTTCAACCTTTTGATCTGATTAACAAGAAGAAATGCAATCCTCCTACAACGATATACTAATGTACTGAACAAAAACAAAACAACCCGTTAACACAGTGATTCTGAAATGAAAATAACCATATCCCAGTTAAGGAAGAGTCCCTTTCCCAAAATTAAATTATACAGACTCCTGCCTTCATTTATTTAATGACCCAATTGTCAGAAGCAGAGTTAATTTTCATTCCAATCATAAAAGGGTTCAGTCTACCTGCATACAACATATTCCAAGGCAATTTTGTCATCAAATTGTTGAGACACAAGTCTGGAGCTGGTAGGGTATTGCGTCATTTTTGAATGAAGAAAAGTAAATACAGTTCTGGAACAGTAATGGTGTGTAGTTATATATATGACCAAGTTCTCCAGATGATTAAACGAAAACACGATACTGCCTTTACCTTGGCCATAGTCATATGGAAATCTGACCATATGGCTATGAATGCAGCACATGAAATAAAGTCAGCCATGTGTTCTCAAAGTAAGTATACCTTTGCAAAAGTAGTGGAATAATGTTGTGACTTGCATAGACTGAACTCTTAGTACAGATTAGAATTTCACCCATCCAGAAAATAGAGAAGTGTAATTGTAAGATCAAAGAATTTAAACCACCATCATCTTTGATTTTTGTAAAAATTATTGTGCCCACTGTATTTAGTACAGAAGCAGCCCATAGAATTACCAATTAGCATAAAGAATGAAAAATTAATAACTTAATGCATTAAAATTGGAATTTTTTTTTTTTTTTTTTTTTGCTGCTGGGTTAGAGTTGCATAGAATAGGCACTAGATTAGGAACAGAGCAGAATTTTTCTAGTTCCTACCTATGTCATTGGCTACCATCTTGGAAAACTTTCTGCTTTTGGTCTTCACTGTAAATAATATTTCAATAAAAAAGATCAATCTAAGTGTATCAAAGGATGAACTGGAAAAAAATAAGTCTATAGAAAAGAAAAATACTGTACCCTTTTCTATAAAATTATTCATTTTTTGATCATCATCAGAATTGTTTGGTGAACCAGAACCTGAGTGAAGACAGAATGAAACAGATATACAAACATGTATCTTTGACACAAACCCAATGTACTAATACAAACTTTAAGTTTAAGAAAGATACAAAGATGAATTAAAATATCAAATACTGCCACCAGTATCCTCTGCAGCTGTACTACATACCACAAAGTCCAAGTTATTTTGGTATGACAAGAATTCTGCCCTATTGAGATTAACCACAAAAATTATAATGCAAGGTACAACGTTGCACAGTGCAGCAAGTTTACTGATAGAAATATTTCCCTCATTGAATAAAATATTTACATTTAATCACGGTTCCAGATGTAAAGATTAACCTAAATTATGATTCACAGACCACTGCCGTAACAATAAACAAGTTTTGAAAAATTGTTTTTTTCCAATGTAGTAAGTCACTGTTGGGCCACAGTTCAACTATTCTGCAGACAGCTCTGAGCCAAGGCTGCCACCTGGGATTTTTCTGACTACTTAATACTGAAAACCCAGTGGTGGCTATAGGCCACAACTTGAGGCTTAATATTGTCATGAAACTAAAACAACTAAAACCCACCAGATTTCATTGGACTTTATATTGTGGAAGTGTAAAATAAGAATAGAATGCAAACATTTTGACTCTCATGAACACAAACTCACCAGTTTACAATGCTATACAATGTTTTATGGGTCAGATGAATGCCCCTGGAGCCTAAGCTTATTACTGTTTAACTTCTCCAGAAAAAGCAGGAGATACGGCTATTATTTCTCCTGCATCTTCACAGTATTTCTATAGATCTGTGTTACTAAAACTGTAGGATACTCTCCTAACTTGCATAGGCAGGTAGTCCTTTTCACAGTCCTCTCAACTGTATAACCGTGCACTGGAGGAAGTCTAATGGAAGTTAGCTTCCAGTTCTCTTCACCTGGGCACAGAAAGGTGGGAGAGGTGGAAGATTTAGATCACTTGAGCAAATGCAGACTTCAGCCCAAACAGTGGCTGATCTGTTTTAGAGATCACATTGTAGCAGTCAAAGCCAATAACACACTCAGTTGCTAATCCCATCCTCCAATCTTAAAGCCAGTAACAAGCAAACTTTTGGTGCTAGTGTATTTTCCTCTTAACTTGAGAACCTCTAGACTGGAGAAAGTTCATATCAATCTGGCCTCTCTCCTGCCTCTCAAGCTCACCCATACTGTGCAGCTGATTTCTCCGGAGCGTCCTCTCTATATCTCCAAAAACGGAATGCCATTTTCAAGCTTCTTTCCAGTCTTGTGCTCTTCCCCACAAAAGATAAAACTTAAACCAAACCTAAGGAACTGCAGCTCTTCTCTCTTCACAAAGATCACCAAACGATTTCCATATCAGGGAGGTTCTTCCCTCCAAGTACTCTTCTCAAAGGAAAACTAGAGAAGCCTTATCTGACTCACCAAGAGCTGGGAGGACAGGACAGAACGGAGGGAAGCAAGGCACAGTCCAACCTCACTACTTCAAGATTCTATTTTACAGGGGAATGCAACAGTACTTTCTCCCCCCTCCGTCTTATGTCCATTCACTATTTTTGGTACTTCTTTGTCCTTACTATTTTGTGCATACCTAAGATATTATACGCTTTTTTTGCCACAGAGCACACAGTTCTCCAAACTTCTAGATTTTATTCTAATATGAACTAGCTTCAAAATAGTCTTCTCAGATAGTCAACTCCAATTGGAGACTTACTGGAAATTTTCCTACCTCTGCAGGACTAGGAATTTCCCGCTAATTCAGTTTCAGGATATCTGAATTCATCTATTCTAAGTTGCCCCCTTTTTTGATCCTCTTAAACAAATAACTGAATTGCATTAATTTTTAACCTAGTTCAGCTAGCACAAGTCAGGAAGGAGGGAGGTAAACAGAGAGGGAGGGGAGGCAAATTTTAATGTTAATTACATCAAGGATTTTTCCATATAAACCTTGATTTTCATCTTTGGGCTTGCTTTCATTGCACTGTTAGAGGAAACAGTGAACTGGGCTTTACTCTACTTCAACTCCAAATTATGGAAGAAACCCTCTCATTCAAATTAAATAGTGTTTTAAGTTTTAACAGTACCAGTCAGAAGTGGTTTGAGCTGACATTCGAGTGACTTTGGAGCAAGGGAAAAAGACGATACCAATTAAGGGTTACATCTCATTGTACAGATTTTATAGCAGTCTATCAGAAACTAGACTTAGCCTGGACTTTAAGTGTGTCAAATTCAAACACCTAACTAAGAATTATCATCAGCCTCCTCGGTCTTGACAGAGAAAGTGATTTACTGCAACTGCAGCATTACACAGCAAGTTGTTTACAAACATTGGTCTTGATATTTAAAAATGAAAGGGGAAATATGCACTATATTCTAAACACCACAAAAAATGCCTGCATTAAAAATTATGGTGAAGTTGACAAATTCAGCATGCCAATACTTAGCATTACACAGGTTTGTCATGAAATCACATCTTCAGTTAAGACTTTTTAAAATTTCCAGCCAAATTTTCCTGTAATTATAAATAAATCTAACTCCGTTTAAGAAAGGTTTAGTCAAAAAGAAAATGACATTGACTGATATAAATGAGAGTTTTGCACAATTTAAAATGAACATCAAAAGACAGCAGTTGTCAAATCAAAAATTAAAATTTATGTTAAAATTTTTGCTGGAGCTACAAACAGGATTTCTTTTTTCATTATGCTTTCAACTTGGCTTTGAAAGGAGTCTATCTTTAAATGCCTATATTGATTACCATTTTCACTGCCTTGCAAAGAGTGCACGTACTACTTTAGGTACTTGAGTAAACCTGCAATTTTGTCCTTCACTCTAACTTTGAGACACTTTGAATGAAGAAGATCTTGACATATTACTTGAAAAGTTTTTTCAGACTAATGGTGCAGATAAGCAACAAATGTTTAGCTACTACATGAAATACTCATCTTGAATACTATACATTGAAACGCACTATTAAGTAGTTACATGGCTATAGCCTCAACTAACCAATGTTAAACAAAATATTAAGTAGTATTACAATATTGCTGAAGCTTTCATTTAAAGTATTTACATACAGTAATAGCAACTCAAAAAAAAAAAGAGGGGGGAGTGTTAAATAGGGAACTCCTACTTTGTAAGGATGCCACTTTCTGAAGAACTCTGATTCCAATGAAAAGTAGTAATTTACCACTTATGAGGAAGCAGAAGTAAACAGCTCTTTTTACAGAAATAATCTTTACCACTTCGGAGGACTTTGAAGCACAGTCACACGAACTATTACAGGAATTTGTGCATCTCTTATCAAGGTTTCAAAATTCCATTGCGTAGCATATTCCCTGAAGCATAAATACTTCCGATTATATATCTCTCTTCACTGATTTTTATGACATATCCCTATTGCATCTCTTAAATCAGCCTTGTTTTAAAAATGCATTTGTGCAATGCAGGAAAATTTATGACAGCTCAGTTTGTGAGAAGACACGGGTTTTATACAATTACTTAAGCAGCAAGTGTTGACTTAAAGCATGCCATCTTCTGGGCAAATAAGAAGCTGACAATCAGAGAAAGTTATGATTACCTGAAGTGGGTGATTTGCAGCGATCCTCTGGCACCATTGTACCTTCATTAATATCACAAAGACCTGCTGGAACACAAAAACAGTGTATAATAAATACAGCTTCTATTTTATCCTTTCTTCCACTGCAGTTAGGAACTTTATTGCTTATTAGCTACAAACCAGCCAGTTGTGATAGAATTTCCATTATATATTACTTTTTTTTTAATTTGGACATTACCCACAACGACTGTAGAGTCACTTGCTTCTTCCTATTAAAGTTTTCCTCACAAAATATGCTTTCTCATTACATTTCAGTGAAAACCACCATATTTTAAGCAAGACAGACTTATCAGAACAGTTAATTACATGCTATAGATTTATATTAAGTACAAATATAATTTCTATTTTGAAAAAATCCTAGTTATGAAAAATGTAATTGCAAGATGAAAGAGGATCTTGAAGTTTCCAACCACGCATGCAGTATGTGTGAAACTACAGTGCCTTCTTTCAAATTATTTTCCCACTGTTACAGTGATGTTCTTTGTATTTGCTGGTGCATTGCCAAGTTCATTTTCCAGCAAAACTCCTTACTGATGTCCCTTACAGGATTTAGGTTCAAGGATGCTTACGGAAGTGCTCTTCCTTGTATGGAGGAATTTTACTAAATTCTTACTGGGCAAATCTGATCATCTGAATAACTGCAATATGTTAATATCTAGAAGTTCATTGCTTCCATTCCAGTGAAGGGAATAAAGCACAGGAGTCCACAATCAGATGCTAAAGATGGAAGTTGCCTCATAAGGGTCTATTCCATAGCCCTAACTAGAAGTATACAAGGAATTTTTGTATTTTCCCTTTTGAAAAGAAATTGCTGTCAAGACTGCCCATGAATAAGAAAAGTGAATTTTATTGATATTTTAAGGGTAGTAATGCATCTTTAGGTTTATGTAATAAAGTCTTCCTCCAGAAACTTCATGATGTGATACTAATGCAAACAAGCATGTAATACGTAACAGTAACAGTTAAGAAATATTTGTTAAAATGAAAGGTTTTTGCATGCACACAAATATTTCAAATAGTCAAAAAGCTTGAGAGGTGTAATGGTTATGGCTAAGGCAACAAGGGCCTGCACGTGCAAAGCCTGTTTATACAGTTGTATTCTACACATTCACTACTGCATCTGTACATATCTGTCAACAGACAACAAAAAAATGGCAACAAAACTACTCTATCAAAGCTTTAGAATTTTGAAATACTAAAACATTTAAAGGAAAAAAGGTTCTTCTGAAATATTGTATCAATGTGGAACACGTTAAAAAGTATGTTGCATTCATGCAGTTTCATTTATGCTAAGTAGTATTTTTTAAGATTACGAAGAGCATGTACAGCTTGAACCTCAAAAATCAGCAACTGGGATTGCTGTGAAATTGTCAAACGACCTGAAGGCTTGGTTAAGCCTAACACTTAACAACAGTCCAGGAACTGATTTCAATTCTAAAGTGTATGGTGAAATCCCAAGTGGAAGCTATACCTTTCCACTACACAGGAGAAAGAAAAAAACAATTCATTTATTTACTTATCTATCAGTAAATCAATGACCACTATGGGGTAATCTTGGTATATCTCTAACAATATATGATTTGACCTCTGAGAATGCCAGAGTTTTAGACACACATGGGAGTCTAAATGTTTTGGACTAGACAGGGTTGTATAAAAAGATTTTTCAAGAAAATCAAGGTGCTCCTCTCCTAACAAGCAATACAAGTTTTAGATTGTAGCGGTGCTGGAAGGACAAACCTGTACCGTGCTTATAGAAATAGTTGTGTTTCTAGATCATGCTCCTCCAGGAGCCAAACAGTAGAAATCTAAACATGCAGTACAGAAACTTAATTCCTCTTTTCCATAAATATTTTAATTCTTTATCTTCATAGGAAGAGTAACTTCTCACACTGGTTTTCCTATGAAAAGTGAAATCCTGCATTGACAGGAATAGTCTTAGCCAAGAATGAAGTCACACACCTGCATGCTTGATCTCTTCGTAAGAAGTTTTGCAGCTATGATTTGATTAATATACATCTTAATGAATAACTTATCAATAGATCCAAAAGAAAACCCCCAAAACATTCCCTCATCATAAACCTATACACTAATTTTATGCATTAGATAAGATTTATTCCACTAAAGAAGTGTGATTTATGACAATCATTATGGCACATAAACCTTGGAAATCTAAGTACAGCCATCACTGCTATTATCTAAGAGACAGAAGAAGGGATAGGAATAGATAAAAAGTAATTTTATCTATCACTATATTAGTAATTAAACTAAGAGAATAACAAGAATGATCTGAGTTAAGTCCATGAGCTATGAGGGTCTGTCCATGACCAATGAGAAGAAGAAACTGGTGTAACAATTGTTATTGCTGTTTATCTTAAAACCCCAGGTACCCTGATAGAAGCAAGACATGCACTGGCAGTAAAGCAGCTCTCATGGAAAAGTTCTCTGGTTTCAGGCTTACAGTATATATGCAAATTGCTATGGATTATATAAACATATTGATCCAAGATTTTCCATTTCAGAACTACAAAGACTACAACCTGACTAGAACACAAATAAACAGAAAAGTGACCTTCTAATAAGCTTTTTTCTTATCTCTCTGAACTCTCGTAGCAAGTAATTGGAAAAACCAAAAAATAAATTAAAAAAAAATCAAATTATGTCATTAAAGACAAAAATTACCATGATGCATTAAAAACTCCCTAGAATTACAGTTGGAATTAACTGACATATGAAGTTTCATGAGACATTTGCCAGTTTTTCGAATAAGCTTTAGGCAGATACATCTCTGAAGAAACTATAACTGGACTGGAAACTAGTCTAACTAAAAATCAGAACTAGAACTAGCTTGACAGGAAGATATGAAAGCTAGAGTTAAAAACAATTAACCTGAAAAACGGAGTACAAAAGTCACCAAACCCAACAATCAAACTTTCTGATTCAGTTCTGGACTTGGCTTAGGCACAGCTGATGTTAGTCTGGTTTAGTTGACACTTAAGTTAGAAATTCAAATAGAGTTAATGTCCAGATCCAGTTGAAGGAGAAAGGGAGTAGGGCAAACAACTAGAACAAGCAACGCAGAAGAGTTCCAGGCACGTATTTTCTTCAGGTTTGACTGAACTCCAGTCCTGAAACCCTTCTATCTTACTTTCAAAAGAAGGCTTTTTGATGTATAATAAAAGTAAAAAAGTCACATGTATGGAAGAGCTAGAGTCAGAAGAGTCAGAATCCTAAACTGCCTCTGGTAAAACTAAGAAATACTAACTTATAAAAAGTTGTATTATATTGTACTAGTTGAAAAGTCACATAAAACCTTGTAACTCCCACCAACAGTAAGTTGCAAAAGAGTTAAGACTGGTGTCCTATGTCAACTTAATTATGTAACTAAGCAAGGAAAAATAACAGCTGTCCTAAGTTTCGGTCTTTAGTCAAAATTAAGGATTGTTTGATAATTTGGTACCAATATCGGCTTTCTTCTTAATGGCTCCTCTCATATTTATAGAAAACAGTTTATCAAGCGAATGTCTCTAAATGGTGTAAGCCTCCACTGTTTGTAGAGTTTTCATCACGCTATAAAGCTTTTACTGACACGTTAAGTCTTTTGGCACATGACCAAAGTTATCTGCCCTCCCCGCCCCTCCCATTATGACCTGAAGGCAATGGCTGACTTTGTTTTAATCCTTGACAAACACCTGATGACACTGTCTAGAAGGCCTTCACAAAACATATATACTGCATGCTTCACAAACTATAAATTGCCACCCAAAACACATGAGTAATATACCTGGTATGAATCACTGATAAATTCCAAAACACGATCCCAACTGGGAGCTTGTATCTGTTGAGCTAGCCTGAAATGACAGTTTACAGTCTAGCTAGTGTAGAGAGCCTTGTCTCTAAATAGATGCTGCTTTAAGACGGGAATCTGAATTTCTTTTCTGAGTAGAAAAAATAAGATGACAGAAACATACATCATATTCTTGCAACACAAGTGAAGGGAAAATCTTGCAATTTTTTAAAAGTCTTTTAAAATTTTCAATTGGTTGACTCAGGACATGCCATTTACTAAATTATAAACACGTAAGCAGATACTGATGATCTATTAAATAGACTTTTTATGCTGGAGCATACAGTATAGCAGGGTTCTTAATGAGGAAGGATGAATTCTTTGTTCTTTTGGGCAAAACCTATGGAAGTGCTTGAGTAACAGTGAATGTTTTCCTACTCCCCTCTATATTGAAATAATTTAATTCTGTGTTCTGTGAATCTTGGGACACAACATACAATAACACTATGCTGCTCTGTTGCATGCTGTCTGAACCTGAACTTAATGTAACTAAGAACTTGCTGATAGCATGCATAGGTTAACACAATCATTTTTTTTTAAATGCATTGTGGTTGTCTCAAAGAGAATGGGAAATATACTCGGTTTCTCTGAAACAACCGCAGCAAATACATAAGCACTTTTTCTAGGAAGATTGAGAAATTAGGTACTAATACTCCCTGAAGGTTATTAGAGCTGTATAGTAGTTGAAAATGTCTTATTTGTAGAAAAATAAAATTAAGACAAATGTTTTGAAGATAAAGAATTCAATGAAGGCATATCTTCCAAAACAAAACCAAGGAAGTGTAAGGTCTGTGCATCTTTGAAGACACTAAACACAGATATTTATGTTTAAGAAAGGGAGAATGCAAAATCCAAATGTGTTCTGACTAACTCCTATAGTACCAATCCCGTAAATACAGCAAAGGATAGTTCTTTAATGTAACAGACTTATTTGTGGAAAATTACACTGCAATAATGCTTTATTATTTAAGCTAGTGAAGCCTGGGCAACAAATACATTGAAAGAACTATAAATAATGACAATATATTAAATAACTCTAGAGAAATTATTTTCAAAGAGACTGTAGCTCCAGCTAATCAAAATATTTGGGGGATGGTGGAGGAAAACAACCGTTGGCTTCAGAAACCAGTTTTGGGACTTCTGCCACATCTTTTGCTTCCCTTCACACTAAAAAATCAGCAGCAGATCCTGTTTTTCAGTTCCATATCATCATAAGGTAGAGGTATTTCTTTTATGCCTACCTCCCTTCCTCCCTTGGCAGCAGAGAATGGAAGACTATACAGAAAGCAATACTTGGCTATTGAACCTACCCTCTGAAATACATTTCTTTCTTCTTCTTGGGGGAAAAAAAAAAAAATAGCACAACCAACAGAACTGGACCACAACCTCAAGTGTTATATTATTTTTATTTTTTTCATTAACTCCAGGTCATTCTTCCCTTAACTCATTCTACTCTCCTTCATTAAAAAATGGGGTGAGATTACCTACCTCTGCCCAAGGGCTGGAGAAAACTGGCACCCTAGGGAAAGGAACAATGTTATGCTTTTAAAATCAGCTTTATGTTCTCCAAATTCTTGGATGCTGTGAATGATGGAATAAGTCAGAGAAGCCCTCAGGTAAATCATGGTTTTAATGGGCTACCTCCCTTGCATAGGCACCTGAACTTCGAAATTGCTTGGAAACCCCACAGGGCTGCATAATACACAGACACCTCCACTCTTAATCCCTATGATCAACATCTTTGTAGAAGTAAATTTTCATTTGTAATAGACAAATCGCCATTTTACAAGGTTAAATATTATTAAGAACAATAATAATAAACTAACACTAGACTTCTGAAGCTTTTTCTGCTAGAAAGGGGACCAAGCAAGGGAAGCTTCTAGCCTCAGATCTCAAAAGAACACTAAGTTTGCTGAGTAAGATCTTGGGTCTGTAGACATCAGTAACTTCTGAGACAGGATCTCCTTTTGATTTTGATATTTATTTACTTATTTCAGCGCACAAAATACAGAGACTATTATGATTGGTTTTTTCCCTTCAAGTTTCCTTTAAAGATGCCATGAACAAGGAACACAATAGGTGAGTGATGGATTAAAAATCAGTTTCTAAAAGTAAAACAGTTACTTAAAATGTATTAACCAAAATATTTATGGGGAGTGAACAAGTCAAAAAATCAAATTCAGATGTTCAAAAATATTTTATTGCCATGAGATGACTTACTTATATAAGAGGTGCGAAGCTTTTTCACAGACTCTGAATATAAGTTAGAAAGGCCGCACATGCAAGAAGCCACAGTCAGCATACCTTTATGAAGCAATGAGAAAAGGAAAGACGGAGACACTAACAGTACATTTGAGACAGAAAAGCCAGCAGAATAACTTGTATAACCAGGTTTATAAAACGCTCTTGCCATGCAGACCGTTAGTATTAAAATGTAAGATGAAAAAATACATGAAATCATGTAACAGTTATCTTCATGAGCAAAAAAGGACTTCATTCATGAACATCTTGGACAGCTGTAACTCAGAGTTATGGGGATCCAATACATTAAAATAACAAAGCCAAGAAAACAAAGCAAGTAATATTTAACACTCCAAAACCCAGTTTATAATCTAAATATATGAATCAGAATTTAAGTCCTTTACTCCCAAGAGGAATTAACACAATCAACCAGTAAAGTTATTTCTTTCTCTCTTAAAAAGTTATTTTAAATAAAAGCTTATTTATTAGAAGAAAATATTTTATCTGACAGGATACCAACTGTGTATGTTCTGCCCTACCTTAATGATTTTTAGACCAGTTTCCTCAGTTGAAATAAGCTAACTCGTGCTAACTAGGTCTTTTTCAAACCCACAATTTACTAAAATACATTTTAGAGCATCCAGTTCGATCTGAATAAAATATTACCTAAAGAACTTACCTGGACTTTATTCTGGATCTCAAAATAAAGCAACAAACACTAGAGCATGAAGAAGTTTTTTTGAACAGTTTATTTCCTATTGAAAAATAATCATTTGAGGCAGCAGTAACATTGTTTATCTTCTGTCTTTAGCCGTTTTCCAAATTAACTTAAAAGTATCCACTGCATAACAAGGAGGAGAAAATCACTTAAAAATATTAAGTTTTCCTTTTGGCAATAAAAATCTTGGAATTTTGACTGAAGAGTCTTTGTAGCTGAGTAGGAAAGTAATACCCTTCACTGTATTTTTAAAATCAAAGGTCTTTTTTTTCAAAAAAGATTTATTTTACCAGTTTGCATTCGGAAGTTTATTTGGTTCATTTAAATCAAAGGCGTCCTCTCAAGGATAACACAACAGCATTGTTGTGATTTGGGAAACATAACACGCTTTAGCTTATCAGGGACATTTCTAGTCAAGGTTTAAAATAGGAAGCCAAAGATCCCAGCAGATACGCTGCCTATTTGCAGACATTTATGGGTTTATACAAGCATGTGATATGGGTACTAGGTTTATCAGAAATACTAGGATACTTCTACTTCTTCATCCTGTGTTAAGTTAAAATCTTGTAAACCACATAAATCCATTGCGTGCTTATATCTATTCACACAGATGTTCTCCCATCTGCTTTTTCCTAAAACACATTACACTGAAAAATAAGTAATGATATCAAGTATCAGTAGATTCCACTAAGCAACAGTTTTGAAGGAAACATGAAGTAACAAACCTAAAATAGCGACATTAGGGATAGATCAAGAAGAAAGGATGAAACCACAATGAAGAAAAGCATGCTTGTATTCAAAGAATATACATTAATAGCCCAGATAAGCTCAGAAGAAAGGCACAGTTGGTTAAACCAAGTTTTGGGTTACTCACCTCCAGATGGTTGCCGAGTTTTTCGGGGAGATCGTGGCTCCCTGCGATAAGGATCATTGGAGCCATAAAGTTCAATAGTGCCTAGATTCAAGAGCACTGTCTTCTGGAGGTAATCAACCATGGCAATACCATTACAGTTTCCAAAAACTACTCTGTAGAAAGAGAAATGGAAGGAAAGACAGTGCTAATCAAATGTTGGTAAAGTTTTATATCGGTATTTGTTGCTGTTCAGAATTTTAAGACCTCCTAATTTTTATAAATTACCTTAAACTACACATATTTATAAAATGCTATTTTAGAATGCAGTGTTGTTTAATTGTTCTCTTGTAAAAACATGTGACACTGAGCAGAACAGATCACTGTACTGGCCAACCTATCTGACAGAGCCTTATAGTGCCAGGTGAGGAAGTCTGATGCCGATTTATTTCTGACATTAGCATCAGCAGGATCTGCCATGACCCAAAAGGAATTATCTTTTAAGCACAGGAGACTGATTGCCTCTCTTGTGTGGCTGTGTACCTTATGTGAACACAAGTACAGACTTAATTTTTAATAGATAATTTCAAACCACTTTAACAGAATAATGAAAAAAAAATTGTGTAGAATATACTTACAGGCCGTACGCCGAGTTGACTGCTAAGCTAGTTATCTGTTGAGGAGGTTCTCCACTCACCCACACTAGCTGGATAACTAGCTCAATTTGGTAGCCTGGAGACTGCTTGAGAGGAGAATTTTTAACTCTGCAAAGTAAACAAAACATGTACCTTTTTATGATTCTCCACAGTCTCCATTTTTCCCTTATGGGCTCAGAATTCATTAAATTCTACACCACACTGGACTTCAGAAGTTGGAAAATTGCAAAGAATCAACACAAACACGTAAAAGCAGCCAGAAAAAAAAAAACGCATCGGACCTGGTCATTCACTACTTCTTGAAGGCCCTTTTGATTCACTATCAAATTGAAAAATAATTGAGTAATGATCACAAATACTTCATTTCTCCCATCCTCAGAGCAAGGCTTAATATTGTTAGCATGCTGTATTGACTTGAATAAATGTGTTCAGTGTCTAAAAGGAAGGTGTTACGAATTCTTTTGAGCTCCCAAAAGAACTGCTTTAGCAAGCAGAAGTGGGTGAGGGGTGCACATAGAAGAATCATACTGAAAAGGGAAATGGAAGCACAATGTATTGAGACAAATGCAAACAAAAAGCTGATGTTTCATTTCCTGAATTTCCCTTATTTTACTCACTCATTCTCATTAATAGTTTGTCAATATTATAAAAAATTCAGGATTTTCTACTCTGTCCAGTTTTCTTTAGAATTTGCTGTCTTTAAAAAGACACTTCTGCAACTCAGTACAACCAATGAGATACAAAAACATCCACCCAGAGAAAATAACGCCAGAGTTATTTTCTGGATGGATGCACTCAGAATTAAGATCCAATTTGAGACCTTAAAACTTCAGAAAACAAAGTATATACATATCTTAACTTTATATCTGAAAATGAAGTTCAGCGTACATTCTGCAAGGACAAGGAGATGGTCTAGAGGCCTCATAATGCGCTCTCGAAGAGCAAAAAAAGATTGCCTTCTTTCAACCTTTATTTCTCAAATGAGTAAAAGTTTACATGTGAAGAACCTTAAGGAAAAAATTTCCAATTTAAAAAAAATCTGAAAATTGGTCAAAGGCCTACACTGCGAGCACTATGAGGCATTATGCAAAATGAAGATCCATGAGAATGGGATATTAATTTTTTTTTGCTGTCCCAAAAACAAAGTAGTTCCCTTAGAGAGTTATGAAAAAAAAAGTTTAAGCCTAAAAAGAGTTACCTCTCAGTTATTTTTAAGTCTTTTCACTGCTTTTGATTTGGCTCTAAAAATCTAAGACTCTAGAAAACTATTCAGACTTACCTGGCATAAAATTAATGATAGCCACAAAACATTACGCTGTCTATTAATTTCAATGGACAATAAGATTTCAAAGTAACTATATTGCTGCTATTGAAAATTTTTGCATGAGCAAACTATGCTATAACTATACTAACATCTATGCCAAAACATCTTAAAGCAAGCAGCAGTTAAAAGTTTTTTTAAATATCAGCTTATGAAGTTTAAAGAAATTAAGACTGCAATATTAATTTCTTAAAATAGAACTCAACTTTTAGATATTTGGAGAGCATTGCTCTCCAATATCTTTACCAACAATGACATTTCCGTAGTAATATCAAATTATATACACATTTTCATCACATATTCTTGTAAAGTGTCACACTCAAAGTATAACAGATTATACTTACTTTAAACATGGGACATTATCACGAAGTCCATCAGATGAACTGCTACTAGTAGATGGATGAGACTGTGGAACAATGGATTGAGGATTGGAACCTGTGCCTGGAGTTGGTAAAGGTGGCACCTGCTCACCATCTGGAGATTCAACATCATTTATTTCATATAACAGACGTACTTCCAGCATCTGTAAACAAAAGTTTAAAAAGGTAACAGTGAATTCTGCCTTTCAAAAAACTATGTACGAAATAAATGAAGTAGAACTGAAGATACTAGTGATAAAAGTGACACCCAGGACTTTGCTATCTCTTAAAAGATGCAGTAGTTTAATAAACCATGCAACCTAAATGCACACGTGGTCTTCAGAAATACAGAGTCATACTAACTACTACAGACTGGATATCTGAAAATTGTTTAAACTTGAAAATCTAACCTGTTTCCCAGTATTTAAAAGTTTGCTGCTTTATATTAGAAAGAAATGAAATAGTGGGTACAAGACCAATTAAACTATCATTCTGTGCACATAAATTCTCAGTTATAATGATGACGTTTTATGTACTTCATGAATTCTAAAACTAAGAAGAGCTGAAGGCATGCAGACAGCTACACTTTATACTGTTGTAGAGGTGGGGGCGGGAAAAGAAAAAACCAGCTACATTATGATTAATGCTTTACTCAGAACATACAATATTTTATAATTAAACGGCTTTGTTAGCTTTCAGCTCACACATTCAGATAAGTAAACTTGCATGTGTGTCTGATTTAACAAATGACTTTTCAAACTTGTAATAGAGCTAGTCGTCGTATCTTATACAGAATAAAACAGTGACACAGCAAAGTCCTTAACAGACCGTAGGGCATGTCTGGCACACTTCTTCTCTTCTAGTTCTGCATACTGCAGAGTTTTGGCCCGGAGAGATGGTATTTAGTAAGAATCAAGAAAAACAATGGAATAAACTCCCTAAAAGCTCTGAAAATTCTTAAACTCCACATCTCATTCACTTCTGTTTTAATTTTACCTTTGGTACAGCCAAGTTTTGATCCACTATTTGCTTTGATAGAACAAAGAACTATTACTGGCTGCAAAAACTGAAAAAGCCAATGAAAACTAAAATCTTGGTGTGAATTTTTGTATTTGCTGAATTTCATAGTTTATTATTTTTCCTCCACAAAAATACATCTTCTTGTTTTGAGGCAATTGTTTTTGTCTATTTCAATAATGAAATGAAAAACAGTTATACTAATTACCGGAATGACTTCTGTTGTGACTTCCTGCTTGCTGAACCTGTAAATAATGACATGTGCAGAAACTCCAGCAATGCACAGCATTCTACTTTCTGGACACCATGAGATGATCTGAATAGCATATGGATCTTCATCTACTATATCTGTGTTTGGCCTGTCATCTTTATTCCGTGATTTTTCAAATACTTTGGCCGTTTTTAGCTTATAGAGTACTTGCAGCGTTACTAGGAACAAACCAAAAGAGAAAAAAATTAGTTTTGCTCTAAACAGATAATTTTAAACTTGTTAATTATTCTAATTTAGAAACTTCTCTTCATAGATAAAGCCACTGTATTCAACAAAAGAGGGCAGAGTAGAAGCACTGAATATGTGCTGACTCTGCCCATGCAGTGTACCACTTGCACAGTGAAAGATCAGCTAGTATAAAAAAAAAAAACCACCCAAACTAAAACCACTTTTCCTGAGAGATGTATACTAAGCTTCAGTTATTAACCAAGGCTTAACTATACTTAGGGATCTCTTTATAACAATAACATCTAGTTACATATGCCATACCCACAACTTATACCCACCTATGACAGAGAAAGTGAAGCTCCTTTTCTTTCTCCTTACAGTGTTTCAATCCATTGTCTCTCACCTGTGTTCTCAGACTTAACAACCCCAGTTCCTCCAATTTTTATTTTGTCCTGTCTGATCATTCAAAAGTGCTGCCCTCTGATCAGTCCACATTTTTCTTGATAGCATGTTTCGCAGTTCTAGTAAGGCCTTGCCACAGTTTAAAATTGTGAAAGAATTACTCTCTGTTGGTTTTACATATATTCCCACTTATTTATCCCTTTTTTTTTGGGGGGGGAGGGGGCCCAAATCACTGCTACAAATACTAATCATGTCATTAGGACAACTTAATTTATAGCATCCTTTCTCCTCTTCCATATTTCAGTGGTTTTACCTGAATCGCACTTCCCTAGTTCAACCTTAAGACTGCTATTAGAGAGACTTAAAAGTTTTAAAATCAAGATACAGGATACCCGCAGTTTCTCCCTTAACAGGCTTATTTATCTGTTTTAGAAATAAATGAAATGTCTTTAACAGGATGTCCTTTTGACAGTTCTATGCTGAATAGAATTCTTAAGCACACAGTATCGATCAGGTTATTCCACCCCTCCCTTTCTCTCTCCCCCAGGTTCCACTCCCACCCCAAACTGAAATTAAAGATCTATAACACTCCAAACACTCCTCCTCCTAGTTTTTAAACATATACATTGCATCTGTTCCCTCCCACACCCACACACCCGTAGCATTTTGGAATCTCAAGAGTCTTCCACAAGTTTTCAAAGACAACTGATAATGATTCCAAGATTGCTTCAGCTTTTAAGTATCAAGAGTAAGGTTAGTTAGAACCAGATTAATTAAAACATCTAACACCTGTGTGGTCCGTTCTAATTCGAATTCTTACTGAATTTCTCACTACTAGCTGTGTAGACCATCAGATGCAATTGACCCTTTAACTGAAGATTAGTATAAAGCTTGTGCGGTGTTCTACCAAAGAACGTCTTTATTTTACTGTTCTCCTGCCTTTCTTCACAAATACCTAGACCATTTTATTAGCACAAACTACTACTGGTTCCAATTCTCATTTTTAGATACTGTAATTTACGGGTAGCTGATGCCTTATAAATCCATGCCTCTCACCTGTCTAAAAAGACAGAAATAACTTACTGAAATTCAGTTGTACTAAAAAGGAATGCATTTGCCTGTCATGCATCTCTCTGCTTAATAATGTGCTTCTGAAGGTGCTTCTAAAATTTTTAGAACTCTTCCATTCAAGCTGGCCCTTTGACTAGCAGTGCATTTTCACTGAGGTGATAAGAACAGTGAAATCATAAGCTAAGAGATAATATTAATTTTATTTAATTTTAAATCAAAGTTTCCTCTACATGAGGTAGGAAATAATGAGAATGGCTAGTTTGCAATTACATTCCATTAGAGAAACCAGTAAGTTTAGAAAACTCCTACTGCACAGGAAAAAAAATCTCTACTGGAAACACTTACTTGCTGAGGCATCCCAAAACTTGATTGACCCATCAGCATGCCTATGAAATATTAAAAAATTAATAAGATGGTAAAACGGTTAGTTGGAGTGTTAGACCTCTTTGCTACCAATTAGAAAAATATATGGCTAACATTTATTTTTATTAGTATTCTTAGTAACATTTTATTTTCACAATTTATTGGAAGCCAATATTTTACGAACACGTGCCCCAATTACTTTAGACAGAAGGGATTAAAAATAACATTTGGTGGCTAGCTCCCTGAAATTCCACTGCACTGATACCAATGTACCATTTTAAATGCTGATTTCAGTTACCTACATTTCCCATAAGCAGTTTTCTATACCTTACCACATGTCGTTTCTTAAAAGATATCCTTTATTTGAAGTGACACTTGCAAAGGAGACGCCTAGCCATACTAGATATATATTTCAGTGTAACTGAGTCACCTAACATCTTTATTTATCCTTGAAATTGAGAATCAGATGACTAGATTTTTTCAGGACTGTCTCTCAACGTCTCTGCAATGTGTAGTATAAAGTGACAGTAATCCTCATTAGGCTAATAGGCTGTTCTAAAAAAACTTTAGTAGCGCTCACTTTCAGTGATGCACTGCACAGTTATAAATTAAATTTTATTTATGCTCCTTAGAGTGGTATTAGAAGGATCAGTGTCAGATCAAAATGAACAGATTTAAGTATTTGTTTGTCCTTTTTGAAATAAAAAAAAACTTGGCTTCCCTTTGAGAACTGAACTTGTAACTATTTAATGGACTTCCTATGCTTTAAAACACTACACTACTATTTTCCAAAAATTAAAGAAGTTTCATCCAGAATATACTGATAGCAAGCAGACATAACCCCAATACCACATCATAATTATAATTCCTGTAAAACACCTGCTATTGTTTTGTTCGTACCTTCTCTTCCACATTTTGCTTTACTTCCTTGTTAACACACCAAGAATGCAAATGACTTGTCTGGTGACCTAATTTCTTAAATCATTCAAACCACTCTTAGAACATTGTTTTCTCTAAGAGAAACAAAATATTCTCACTTCTACTTAATCAGCTAAGAAAGTTATTACTACTCTATGGCATCACTTACCCTGTAATGATTATCTCTGGATAGCTCTGAGTGATCAAACCCCAGTTGCCTCCACTGATAGGCCATTCCTGGAAGATTAACAAATACACTGAGGAAGAAAATATCATACAGTGCAAAGTTAAGCCACTGAAATTACTACAAATACTGCAGCTTCCAGTATTTCACATGACTTCAAAAGTAATTAGACATATCCACTGCAGAGAAAAAAAAAAAAAAAAATCAACAAGGGTGATAAACAACACCCCCGGCTCCTGGAAATCCCTTCGCTTCCAGTGATATGGCAATCAATGGGAACACATCAGCAAAACATGACTATAGGCTTAACATATGGTAAATCTTCTCTAGACATCTGCAATTAGCCACTGCCAAAAGACAGGATAATGAATCAGATGGAGCTTTGGTCTTAGTATGGCCACCCCTACGTTGTTTAGAGCTGTTGATTTTCAGTACTTTGAAATCCATATGTATGTACTAGATGTTGTACCTTCTTACTGTAACCTTGACGTTTCTGTCGAGCGCCAACTGAATAGAGTGCAGGTATGAGGTCCACAGGACAATCAGCAAAATATTCACAACAGGTAACCGGAGATTCATGTATAGTCAAAGGATAAGGATTCTCAAATATAGGGTACCTTTAATGGATGAAAGGGGAAGACTTAATATAGGAAAAAAACTTTTTTTTTTTTAAATGCAGAACATAAGCAAAACACTGAAGACTAAGTTTGCATTCTTTTTGTATAGAGGAAAATAAATGCATATCAAATTACATTATGAACAAATATACTATGCAACTTTACTGCTCATCCAGTACGCTATCAAGATTCTGTAGTACGGTGTATGGAACCTGAAGTTTGTACTATTTCTAGCATATTTTTAGAACACTGCTATTCCCTATACTTTTATATTTTTAAAAGCTTACTATTTGAATGACCAATTTAAAGTTCTAAGTAGTTACCAAGTCCCAACTGTAGTAACGTGGAGCTATGAATTTATTTCTAACTCTTCAGTCTCTTCCAGGGAGAAAGACAGGAAGACTCCGCTTTTCACTTTGGATTATTATACTGGTTAGACAAAAAGTTGTCCAGCACTTTTCATAACCTACTTGCAACTCCAAGATCACCTTCTGAAAGTTATATATAGCAATGCTCAGTTACCAATTAGAAGCAAAACCACACACATATACTTCTCACCCCCAACTCCATCAGAAAAGTGACAGAGCCTTAATGTGGCAAAAAGCCAATAATAATAAAGAGGTGAATACATCTGTGTTCTAAGAACATTATTCTCCAGGGAAACACATACTATACATATGATATTTTTTTTTTGAGAATGGCTAAAAGGAACACAGCTTCTCATCCCATCTAAAGGAAAAAATTAGCAACAGATGAAAATATTCTGCACATCAATAACTTTATACAGAGCTATCTGGAAAGCTAAAACAATCTTCTACAAATTTAATTAAAGAGAGGCTTAATTTTGTTAAAATGTGATAAATCGTTATGATAACACAGGGCAAAAGGACACCTCCTGAAACAAAAAAAAAGCCTACTAATTTTGTTGCTTTTTTCAAGTGTGAAGCAATTAATAATTTTCAAGTCAGTCCATTTGACCATTATAAGCCTTCTAAAAACATCACTGCTGAAGATTTTTTAATATGAAATGGAACAAGCCTTAACATCAAATTTCAGGCACTGCAAACTATTTTGCTTAAGAAAAAAGCCTTGTATAAGCCTTTTTATTTCATCTCATTAAAGCTTGTTTTATTAATCTTTCAACATATGAATGTCGGAAGCTTAATGCCACTGGTATATCAGAAACAAGTTCTGGATACAGCATATGGCAACATAACATTGGGAAAATCTAAAAGAAATTGCTCAGTAGCTGCAAAGTTATCTGGATTAAACTTGACGTTCTTCCAAATTTGAAAGTCTTCATTATGTAAGGTATCGACTCTGAGGATACATATTTAAAGGTTTTTGTTTTGTCCTAGAAGGGAGTTCTTCACAAGGATTCTTTTCTTCATTGACCATTGATGACTTTTAATCAGGAACACCACAAAGATCTCATCCCTCAGTTCTTCTGCCACTTATCGCTTAAAAGTTAGTTGTTACTGCCTGCACTAATTTTAAAACCCTTGGTTAAAAGAATTTGCAGGATCCAGAATTTTTAATCACCACCTAATAGAGTTTACGGATTGTTTTATGGACAAAGTATCAAGAGACTCAAAATGTGTCAGGCAGGTATTAGTTGTGAAAACTGTAATAGGATATTACTTTTCTACTTTTAAGTAATCCCTTAACAAAGCAGTAAACCAGGGAATAGATTCCTAATTTTACGTATATGATATTTATTGCATGAGTATTGAATTACTTTAAGCAATACAAATAGCAATTTATTTGGCAATAAAATCAGAAAATATTCATGTGATGACAACAACACTTGTGTCGGCCACAATTACCTGGCTTATCTCAACAGTTGTTCCCCCTGGTCCCTTCCTGAAAATTCTGAGCTTCCCTCATAGCACTCAAGGAATCAATTTCAAAATAAACTGTGATAATTAAAAAGCAACAGTGATCTCTAAGTAACTTCTGTCAGTCAATTAAGCCTGGAAAAAGTCACATAATATTCTACCCACCTACTACATACTAACTTGAGAAAAGTTGATCAGGTTTCTGAAGAAACCTAATATTTAATATTCAAAATTTTATGTTCTGGACAGGGAGGTATTATGGTAGATTAAAAAGCTATAGAGAAGAACCATAGGCTGAGCGCTGCAGTCAGCCATTAAAAAGACTACACAAGGTTCTTACCCATTTTGTGCAAGGTCAATCAGTACTAAGTCCTTTTCTAGGAGAACAACTACAGCATATGGTTCCTGAAAGTCTGAAAACAAAAAAGAAAAAAGTTACTTAGTGGTAAATGTAGTTCTTGCACGAACAGCCTCAAGAACGTGATCAGTCCTTGCACTCTATCACTTGAGAGTAGAAAAGAGATGACTATACAGTTCCTGAAGATATATTTTATACCCTCACCCCCCTGAAGACTCCAAGTTAAGTTTGGAAAAGGCACGCTCTACCTTCCATTCAATATTCCCAACTCTCTTCGAATTTGCTGGAACCATTTAAACAGCTCAACAGAAAAAGGAACATGCAGAGGAACTTGTATAAGCAGTATTTTTGAGAAAGAGCGAGTTACAGAACAATAACATCCTCCCCCCCCCAAAGTGCTTTTCCTCATATTTAGTGAGGTTTAAATTCCAACTGCTTAAAAAATGGATTGAAAGACAGACAACTTGACACCAAAATAAGACAATTTAAAGAGATTTCAAAGTTCATCTTGACCTCTTTCAGGAAGACCTCAAATTCTGAGCTAAGCAGCTTTGTATACTCTGATGGAATTTGACAGCTAAAAACATTGGAATCATCACAAATATAATATTATTAATCTGGCACAACCACCTAAACTATGACAAAAAAATCCTCTTCTGCAGGAGATTACAGGTTACCGATGAACTTCATGTGAGCATTGGAATGAATAAAGTCACTAGAAGTTGAGTACTACACAAATGCTAATCAAGATTTAGAATTGACGGGAAAGGCCTCGTGTGCTCAAATAAATATTGATGAACACATCTGCTGCAGCAGCTACAGCTTGAAATTGTAATGCTACTTTTTGTCTGCACATGCTTTTGGGATTAAAGGAAGGAAAGACCATGCAACCAGTAATCAGCATTCTTCTAGAAGCAAAACAGGTTTAATAATAAACTATTCTATTATGATGCTTTGGGAAGCAAAACAGACTTCAGACAATAGGGATAACAGATGCTGCCGCTGCCGTCTGATCCCCAAAGATAAAACAGAAAGGCAATAGTAAAGAATATTCTGATGGGATGAAATCACAGAAAGAAGAGGTCAAAGTACTGAGAAAAATCTTTACAGAGCATACCATTAGGATACGGCGTTTCACAGAGGGTAAGAAAATCAACAATAGAATAATCCATTTCTAGCACAGCAGTACTTTTCCCATGCATAACTGTTAAACAGGGTCTTCTTCCTACAGTGTCATATGACAAGCCTCCCGAGAGAATGATGAAAGGGTCCCTGGAATAAAGCAGAAGCATTTAGGATCAAGCCAAGATAATGTGTAAAAACAGACTGGGCAGGTTTTGTAACCTTATAATAAAATTTAACAAGATACCATTAAGCAGACATACATTAAGAATAATGCAAACCAGCTCTCCACATAATGTGCAGCTTGCGTATGTGCTTCAAACCTTAAAAAACAGGAGTTAGACTACAACTCAAGTCAGACACCTCTTCCAAACTTTTTCTTCTATACTGCTTAATTAACCAATCTTCACAACTGTTTGCCAAGATGAGATTTATTTTGTTAAACTTTGGAATTGTTTCTTTTCTATTGAATTGCAGATTCAGATTTGCCAACAGCCCCATTTATCCATAATATAAAATTTTAGCAGGATCAGGAAGAAAAATTCCCATTTACTTACTGTACAGAATTACCCTGAATTTTGAAGGATAAACAATTTTGCAAATAGTGTAAAGTTATTTTGCAGTCACAATAACACGACTGTCTTAGAGAAGCAACCAGTTACTTGATAAGATTCAGAGACCTAACAACTTTTAAGAAGCAAGGACATAAATAAATGCCCATAGTTCTCCCATCACATGTTTACTCTAGACATTTTATCTATTTCCCCCCCCCCTTCCACCATGCACAAATTTCAGGGAACTACTTCTGTATCATAGACTACTTCTACTGCATAATTAAATGGCTGAGTACAGGAAAGCAAAAATATTTCTTCTAGTCTTAAGAAAAGAGAACAGAGACTTCCCTTCAAAAATTTTTTAAAAGTCTTTACAGAAACATTTTCATATACATTCACATTTTCTCCAATATGCACAACAATATACAGTTTAGTATCCAAATTTATTAAAAGCAAGATGAAGAAAACATATTCTTTTTACTAGGTATTTTCTTTCCTGATTATCAAAAGTCACCACTCATTTTCACACTGTTTATGTATGCCTTTTAAAGAGTTGAAGAAGAAATCTCACCCATTATTGACCACTGCCTCAAATTCTAGGTTATATTCACAGTCAATATTCGGTCCAATTTTGTTCAATATATTTATTAATGACCTGGATGAGGGGACAGAGTGTATCCTCAGCAAGTTTGCTGATGATACCAAACTGGGAGGGGTGGCTGACTCTCCAGAGGGCCGCGCTGCCATCCAGCAGGACCTGGACAGGCTGGAGAGCTGGGCAGAGAGGAACCTAATGAGAGGAAAGGCTGAGAGAGCTGGGACTCTTTAGCCTGGAGAAGAGAAGGCTGAAGGGAGACCTTATTATTGATTACAAATATCTAAAGGGTGGGTTGAAGGAGGATGGAGCCAGACTCTTCCCGGTGGTTCCCAGTGACAGGACGAGGGGCAATGGGCACAAGTTGGAACATAGGAAGTTCTGTTCCAGTACATGGAAAAAACTTCTTTACGGTGAGGGTGACAGAGCACTGGCACAGGCTGCCCAGGGAGGTGGTGGAGTCCCCTTCTCTGGAGATTTTCAAGACCCACCTGGATGCAGTCCTGAGTAATGTGCTCTGGGCAATCCTGCTTTAGCAGGGGAGTTGGACTAGATGATCTCTAGAGGTCCCTTCCAACTCTGAAAATTCTGTGATTCTGTGATTTCTGAAGGAAAAATAGGCACTTAGAGTGTGAAATTCCTCTGATCTACTTTTATGCTCACTTTAGGTAGGAATCCTACCCTTTGCATATGTCTAACTTGGAAGCAGCTAGTACATCAGTATCTGGTGAAAATTTGTAGGTAAAAAAGCACCATCATGACATATTGTGAAAAGGAAGCTGAAGAGATCTTGTATTTTTTGTCTCTTCCTATAACGCCATCTTTACCATACTGTCTAAATGGCTTTCACTAGTTAGCATTTGAAACACAAATATGACAGATTAGGTGCATCTTTTTTCTGGAAAACCATGTATGAAGGGTTTAGTTTATGCACATGCTGCCCTTCATGAGTTTAACGCTTGGCTGAAATGTGCTCTGTGTTAGCAGCACTGAGGGCAAAGCAGACTGAGATAAGCTTTCAGTTTCTACAATTATTTCACAATCTGCCTGATCCTTCAGAAAGCCCCATGACTGAAGAGTTGATAGGACCAAAGAGATCTGCTGGCTGAGGAAGAGACCTCAAAGGAGTGGCCATAAATTAGACCATGGGTCCACCGAGTTCAATATCCTGTCTCCAACAGTAGCTGAAAGTGTATTTCTAGAAAAGGAGTAAGTTTTCATTTAATCTCAATTCTCCATATTGGAACCTCACACAATCTTTTATGGTCAGGTCCATGAAGTAATTTCAGGAAAAGGAGAAACTTTAATTTAACCTGGTATTTTTCAGGATGTCAATGAAGAGAAAAATACTGTTGTGATGTACTTGCGGTATCTTATTGTGCTGGAATGATTTATTGCAGTATTTTTTTGTCTTCGTAAAATCATTAGTTTTTTAAACAATAAGGCTGCCAGGACAAATTTGCAGTAATTATTAGATTTGCGGGTTCACCAAGATCAACTGACAATATTGAAGTGACAAATTTCAGTTTCTAAGTTTTGTACATCACAGTGAAAACTGCATGGTGGTTTCTCCTGCTTTTATTTCTCAAGGTAATCAGGTTGCTTTGGGCAGGCTTGCCAGAGTCTGTATCCTTATGAAGTAAAGAATGGAAGAGCTAAGAATAGATTACACAGTCCTGTCACAGGGATTTTTCACAGATGAGTCAAAAATTAAAGTTGATGTTAGTCTGCCAGAAAGACTAATACAGGTTTATGTATGAACTTTTTGTATTTTCATGAAACCATAGATTTACCATGAACACAAGCTGTGTGTTTTCCAACTAAACACGTAAAGTGTTGCCCTTCAGTTGTGATACATATTAAAAGTTTAGTGCACATAAATAGAAATGAATGATTTAAAAGAAAAAAAAATTGTACTTAATAGACAAGACTGATCCCACTTTGATAGTTATAGTTTACTTCCCTGAAACAATGGAAAACATTAACAAAAAGCAGTGCTAAGCTCTTGGAGAATTGCTATATAGCATTTTTAGCAGCTGCTAACACAGAGGTTCTTCTTTGAAACAGCTATGCTTCAGTAGGTTTGGAAGCAACCCCTTTATATTAATTTCCTCATCAGTTAAATCTGTAAAATCACTTGGGGAACACCATAAAAAATTCACTACAAAGGGCAGCAATGTTTCATTGAAAAAAATTTTTCAGGAAACACAGGATTAGGTCTTGCATTGTATAAAAACGTAACACAACTGAGAACTGAGTGACTCAAAACCCTAGAGAATGTTTCTGATCAATTTTAGAAGTAAACTGTCAAATGTCAGTCAGTTTCTGGCAATCTGGATGCTAGAGGGAACAGCATATACAGAAGTTAGGCCATTGGCACCAGTTGGCTTACTTTTCAAACCATTGGTGAATTTGTCAAGAAGTTAATCCCTAGTAATAAAGGTGGAAACGACTTCAAGAGTTAGTTTAGCTTAAGACTGGAAATCTTGAAGTGGTAGCAGAGACAAGCTACAAATTCATTTTGGTAAGTGTGCTTTTGAATTGACAGGCTCACACAACAAAGTAGTACTATTCAAAGTAAAAACAGATCAAGAACTTTTACTTATCTGGAGACCTCAGTATTACTGTAACCTCTGGGTCCCAGTTACATACATCCATTTTACTATGAGGTACTGCTCTACAGTTAGTCAGTGACAGCTGCGTTAGCCACCAAGTCAATATCCTTTTTGATTATGTTTTATGGAGAGACTTTGGAGCTGTAATTTCTATTATACAGTGCTCTAGTAGCAAAGAATAAGCTTGGGCAATTTTACAATAATGCTAATATCAACCAGAGCAAGTACAATAAAGGACTGAATCTGGAGGGGTGGGAAATAGCATTAGGAAGCTCAAGAACTTCTCTAGATTCACTTTAGGCAGAAAAATATGCATAGAAGCAACACGGAAACCATTTCAGCAAGCTCAAAAGGTAAGCTACCTTGGAACTCATTGCTTCAGAAAGAGATGGAGCATTTTAGATGAACTCAAATGGCTGGAAAATGATGACATTGTCCTCAGGGATCAGAAAATTACGCCACTTTACTCAAGGAATATACCAAGAACTTGCCTTTCAACCCCCTAGTCCAGGTACAGGACAACTTTCAATAGCAACCTTTCTACATATATTCTTCCAGAAATAAAACTAGAGGTATACTTTTGTTGTAGGGTAAGCAACTTTGGCTTTGAAGATTTCACAGGCACTATCTGCAATAGACTTAAAAACCCCAATGACAGAAAACCCACAGACTTAAAAGATAAATAGGTAGTCTGTAAGAACCAGAAAAAGCCTCAATGTCCTCCTGTTTCCCTGACTCCAGCTTCACAATATGGAGAACATAATGGAGGAAAAAAGTGAGAAGGGATAAGAGCTGCAGCAGTACAAAGAGGTCTGCAGCAGTACAAAGGGGCTACAAAGGTCTGTAGCCCCTACTACAGGCTGCAATCAGTTATGTTCCTTCTGTGTTGTTCCGGACACCTTTTTTCAAAAAGTTTTTGAAGTACTCACTGTTTTTCACAATTAAAAAAGTTAGGTGAAATAACTTCAACATGCATTAAACAGTACCTCTTAAATATGTTGTAAGCTTTTTGGGTTTGTTTTCTTTTGTGTTTGCTTTTGAAGAACAGTTAGAGCAGACTGCTACAGAAGCAAGTTTATTTGGCTTGTTTCTTATATTCTTTCGGTAGCTAGAAAAACTTTGGTCCTGGCCAGGAATGATTCTCCTATGTGCTACAGAAATTAAACCATGAACAATTAGCATGTTCATACCTAATCAATTTCAATTGGTAAAGAGAAAAACTATCAAAGATTTAAGCACTGAAAAGTAGTTCTGCTTTGCCTTAAAATGCTTGTAATACCATTACAAGTGAAACTGAAAATTCAAGTGTGAACTGGAATACATCTAGCACTAAATGAACAGATTTTTCAGGGCACTGCTTTACCACCACAGTGTGAACTGGTTTTTTTGCGGTTTTGGTTGTTGGTATGTTTGGTTGTTGGGTGGTTGTTTTTTTTGGGTTTTTTTTTAAAGTTATGGAAAAGTATCATAACAGTTACAGGAGTACACTGAAGACGAAGAAAATAGAGAGAAAATATTAAATTGAACTGCATCCAAACATAGTTTGGATGAACACTGGAAAATGAGAGGTGTAACAAAAAAGCCCACGCTAGGAAGAAGTAGTGTCCCCAAAGAGCTATGTATTATTGGAAATTATATGAGAATAAGCTCCTCTTTAAACTGTGTGAAAAGTCAACTAGTTTTCACATTGTAATATTACAATTGCATAGAACAAGCTTTGAACTAATCCTTTCCTTCAGAATGACTATTCATAACAGAAGGCTTCCGATTGCAGAAATTGTAACTTGCTGAAGCTGAGACTACTTTTGGTTATCTGTATCTTTCTTTAGATCAGCTTTTGACATTTCAGTCGAGAAAGGAATATGCAGACAGATACAGACTGCTTCAAGTAAAATATGGCTTTCCAGCTGATCATAGATGTTTATACATCTGAGAATTAGCCCCAGACAAATTTCTATTTACCTCACTTCCAGCAAACAATAAAAATACACAAACCCACTGATATTATATGCATGGCTATACCAATATATAGTAAGAACCTATATTTCATCAATTAAGTAACCATCTTCTATAGATTTGAATGGCTGGAAAGCAAATGAAAGCAATACATAAACTCCCCCCAAAAATCAAAGAAAAAAAAGAAAAAAATCAACATTTGCAAATAGCTGAACAGGTTTCTATGAATATTTTATCTTTATATTGCACTTTTTACTCAAACACTTTAAAAGCATAAATAGAAGAAATTCCACACTGCTCACAAAATCCTTCAATCCTAATTGCAGTCTTGGTAACAAAACATGCTGCTTAGAATACTGTAATTCCATCTGAGCCTCTTGTTGCAATTACTGCTTTGTTACATTCTCAATGTGCATAATTAGGCACAGTTCACTGCATAAATTACTGCACTCTACTAGAAAAGCTTCTGTCAGTAACATTTTTTGGGGGGTAACATATTAGGAATTCAGAACATTTGTAGGCCACTATTTGTCAAATTTCATTTTTTTCGGGTCTGTGCTTCAGGGTCTTCTGAGCTTTATCAGCCTTTTTTTCTTCTTTAATATTCTCAAAAGATTGAGTAAAAATACACGAGTTTAGTAGCATGGAAGAAGCATGTAGATAATGTGTAAGCAGTATCTTTACCTAAGTTAAGGTTTGTATGTAGTGATTTGTTCACATGTTTTTATAGTTTATTCAGCAACACGTGTGCCATCAGGATACATATCCAATCAACTGGAAAACAAAGTACGTTCCCAGAGAGCTGCACTTATTTTACATATGTTAATTTTGCATACAGAACAAGTCTTACCCAGCTCTAGTTGTTTTATATTCCACCTTAAGGATAGGTTTGCAGGGTTCTGGCTTCTTTCCATCCTTCAGCTGCTTTCCTAAAGTGAATTATTTTCTTATATTAATCTTACAGTTCCATAACATAATGCAACTTGGAAAGTAGAACATTAATACAAACATATATTCAACACCTCTGACAATTGTAAACTATGCCTTGGAATAATATCATTAAAAATTTGTTAAAACTCTAAATACACCAATATAAAATATTTACATTTAGGATTTTTTTTTGTTGGGTGGGGTTTTTTGTTTAAGTGCTGTAGTATATTTGTTTTCAAAAATATAGTCCTCCCCTAAAATGTTGTTTTAGGTAGCACTGGGACATTTATCTCATGTCTACCATTTTGCAATTAAAATGGATCAGCTTACAAGTAAAGTGAGGCTAAGACTTGAATTTGAACGTGAAGGCCCACTCTGTCTCTACTGTGCACTATTAGCAACTAAATCTTCTACAGACACAATTTCCCATGGAGTCAGTAGAAATTAAGAGTACGGTGTAAATATGTTGGTTGTTTTTTTTTATCCAAACATCGATAAAGTCTGATACTACTATAAAGTTCTGCAGAGAATTTAATTTGCAGCCCAAGATCAAAATAAAAACAGTTCTTAAAAGAGGCCAAAACATATTAAACTAAAGCTAATCTTGAATAACTAGTTTTACTACTACAGTGTCAGTTTTTTGTTTTTCACTGCTGCAGGACCATATAGAAACCCACAGCTTCCTTTTTCCACTCTAGTCCACAGCCAGCACAGTGAACATGGACTGGCTGGAGGCTCAGATAGGTTAACCAGGATGCTTAACCACAGCATCTTGTACTATGACCGTAACCTCACAGATTATCCTCTTACATTCACACTTAAGAATCTGAAGTAAATAAGTTGCTAAGGCATGATTTAGACACATGTACACCATGTAAACCTGGCATTTGTATAGAACATTTTTGAAAAGCAGCAGTCTATTTCACAGAACAACATGTAATGTTACTTTCCTAGATTAACATTAATGCAAGACTTCTGAGAAGTGGGAACAACTTACCAGATGCTAGTCTTACTGTTACAAGTCTTTCCAAGAATTTATATGGTAATCTACACATTTATACATGAAACAGATGCTTGCTTATATGTACTTTAAACAACATATGGGATTGTAATGCCAAGCAAAAACCAAGACCTGCAAAATATGCATTAGTTAATTTTGAAATCAAGGCCATTGTGTGAGATGCCAGCTTAAAGTTCAGAGGTTTAGACAAAACTGTGCTGATTTTGATTCTTAAGACTGGGCTTTTTTTTTTTTTAAATAAATCTACCATAATTTGATATGACATTATTTTTTTTTGCTTGTACTGCAAATGCATTTTTAATACTTGGTTTTGCAAAACACACTTATATTAAAAGTAAGTTCTGTGTTTTAAAAGCTGTCAAACAAAGTAGGTATCCATTTTCATCTTACCGTGTGGAGTGATTGTCTGGAATGGTTTGGTAGGAGATTTTACATTCCATATGGTCAAGGTACCATCTGAGTGACTACAAATAAATTGTTTTCCTTCATGATGCCAAGCCACAGAGTGAATAGCCTATGCAAGAAAAAAAAAAAAACAAAACAAAAAACATGGAACAGTGGAAATTGAGTATCTTAGTATCATTTTATCCTTACTCCTTCCTCAATTACATTAGATAGCAAAAGGAAAGTAGAGAAAGCACTAATTAAATCATGCTGCCCCCAGTAAGTTTTCCATTTTTAAGTACTTCTTTCAGACATACTTTATCCACTGTCTTCATTGTAGTGACATGTTTAAGGGGAAAAAAATCCTCCTCAGTGTAGTATTAAAGTATTTTTCAACAATGGCTAGCACACAGAGAACAACTGCAAACAGTTATGTGAGCTTTTGCTAACCAAAATTTTCTATTATTGGGAAAAATACACTGTTCATATTAAAAATGCCTACTTGATGGGATTAAGTTTTAAAAGCCATTTTGAGATGTCTATGTGGATGCACACAAGAGGCACGCGTGGGTTGAGAACATAAGTAAAACTGAAGTAATAAGATTTTTTGGAAACTATGATGAATGATGATGTTAACAAAATACCAGCTTGAATAAGCATTCTAATGTTACAATGGCAGTTTTGAGGTACAGAGACGCGTAGGAATCTACTATTAAATCTTTCCACACATACAAAACCATCTTTACATTCATAAAATTAGGAAAGCAATGATTAAGCTACACCACATCAAGCCTTACTGCAGAAAAAAGCTGACTAAACAAAATCTAGTTGCTGCCTTAAGGTGAGAGGAAAGTAAACAGTGAAGCAAAGAATACAAATAAGGCAGAGATTAACTAGTAAGAAGAAACTGGTGCTATTTCTGTTTCCTGCATCTCTGTTCATGGAGACATTATGAAACCATCAGGTGATGTTCAAAGGAATTTCAGTTATAGCATGAAAATATCAATAAACAATGAAAACCTGAAGTATTTCTCTACTACCCAAAAGGTGCAGAAGGAAGTTTTACCTGCTAGAAGTATGGAACTGTGATATTACTGAGTAGGTAGTTTTGCTTAATACTTATGGTAAAGACGTTACTCTAGGTAAACTGAAAGGAGGACATGAATATGTGAAAGCTGATGGGCTGTACAATACCATCTTTTGAGGGGTTACCCTCAGTAGAGATTCTGTCTGTAAGCAGGGCTTAGACTCACACCAGCCGCTCAGATACCTATGGATTTCCTCTGAGAGGAAACCTGGGTGTGTGAGTGGTAGGGAACACTAACTAGCAGTGAGAGATTAGGCAGTAAATTACTAGGTGAAGAAGAAATCACACAAGAGATCGAAGTTAGCTTTGCCTAAACTGATTGTACACAGATCAGATCTTCACATTTCATAAGAGTATACAGAAAAAAAAAAAAGAGTTTCCAGCAATATGATTGGGAGAATCTAGAGATTAAACGGCAGAGGAAAATAAGTACACTTCAAGAGTCTTCAAAAATAACTTTTCCAACTTAAAGAAGTAGATCTGGATAGCTGCAAACTACAGATTAACTAAATTTATTATTTCTTTGTGAAACTTAATCTTGTTCCGTATGTAGTGTGAAATCACTGTATATTTTGTTAGAAGACAGATTCAGTGTTATCAATGTCACATCTACACATACATAGTTCAAACCTAGACATTTCAGATGAAGCCTCCAAGAGTCAAAGTGAAATAGTCTTGCTCATTCTGTCTGTAAGAAATTATTATTTAGGAAATAAAAGGCAGTATTATAAAAGAAACTTTGCATAAATATTGAAAACGTGTTTTTCTTTACCAACATAGTATCAAAGTCAGGGATCAACAGGTTTGAAAGTTCAGACTTGGTAAAGCAAAGGTTGCATTTCAAAATGCTCTTTTCACTAAGAAAATAAGTTATCTATACTATGACTAGTAATACAAGTAATAAGTATGTTTCAAGTACTCTCCCATCTGAAGTCTAAACCTGACAATTGTAGGCAGCCCATAGTGTAAAAGCATATCAGAAACTGCTCTGTTTATGTAGAAAGAGGTCTTAAGAATCAGTAAGAAAGCAAACTTTATAGAAGGATAAATCTGAGAAATTAACACTTCTTTTTTGAAAAAGAAGGTCAAGAGGAAAAAAATGCAACAACCCATTACTGTAGAAATGGTATTAATGCTTATGAACATAAAAAGATCTGATAAACTAAGCACAAAAGAAGGATGACTGCTATCACTTAATTTCTGCAAGGAACCTGATGGGATGGAAAGAATGAACAATGAGGCCATTGGCTTTATGGCTATTTGTTGCCTAGTTTTATAGAGCATCTAGTTAGGTTTAGCAATGCACCTAAATATAATTTAAAGCATAACAAAACCACGTTTTATGTATTTTTAAAGTAATCCAACTAACAATTCTGTGGGCTGAGTAGAATAAACTTTGGTAGAGAGCACTATCCTTTGCTATTACAGAATTCACAACTTTTTGTAAGCCTGAAAAATAAAACCAGACAAGTAAGTAGCTGTAGCATAATCTCTACGTATACTACAGGCTAGTTATCTACAGTCATAAGTCAGTCACAATGAAAAAGTTGTCATCGTGTGTCCCCCCCCCCCAGTTTACACAAAACTTACTGATGCAGAATAAAACTCTAAAAGTTTTAATCGTAATTCTCATCTTGATTTAAAACTTCATCTGGCACCATTTTGGTACCGTAATATAACAGTGTGCTTAAATCAGCTGGTACTGATTCAACTGTCTCAAATATTTTCGTGGAATATATCACTGGTCATACGGATCCCAAACAGACAGTAATCCCTTATGACAGGATCATGTACTAGTAACACAAAAGATTGCTACTATATTTAAGGCACAAGGCATTTGCATCCTTAAGAGGAGTTGGTGTGTCAGGTAACCCAAGTCCTGACCTCAGTTTTGAGTGTATTTTTCCACCACGGGGATTTTCTCACAGGTAATTAATGACAGAACAAGAGGGAATGGCTTCAAGCTCCAACAGGGGAGATTTAGACTGAACATTAGGAAAGAATTTTTCACAGAAAGAGTGGTCGGGCATTGGAACAGGCTGCCCAGGGAGGTGGTCGAGTCACCATCCCTGGATGTGTTTAAGAGCCGTTTAGATGTGGTGTTGGGGGATATGGTGTAGGGGAGAACTTTGCAGAGTAGGGTAGATGGTTGGACTCAATGATCCCAAGGGTCTCTTCCAACCTAGATAATTCTATGATTCTATGAATTCATAAATATATATATACAAAAAAATACCTTCTCTTCTCCCTTTTACAGCTGATTATACGCATACCATTTGATACTGCTCTTGGTATCTCATCTTCCTCCAAGACAACATACATGCAGAAGCGTATTGTTACTTCAATGTGAATACAAAAACTATTTATTTAAGCAGTTGCCCCTGTTTCTAAAAGACTTTTAACCCATTTTTCTAATACCAAGTTTAGACTACTGCAAATACAGTTGCTACAACTCAGAAAAGAAAAAAAATCTAAGTAAACTGGCTTGCCTTTTTTTTTTTTTTTTTTTAAATAATATGCACCTCCTTAATTGTTTTTCAAGTATAACACAATCTTTGGCAAAATGTTTCTGCATACTTTCCCACAGGAATGCACCTGAATCATGGAGAACTCCTTTCAACATTCTTTGGATTTGACCATGATTCTTCACTCTTTTGCGCCATTAATTGATCTTGAAATATACTATGCATGACTGGTAAGGTCCATGACATGAGATTAGTTATTCTGCAACCAGGCTGTTTACCATAGCCTATTCAGATTTCACTGTCCTCCGTTTCCCATGGACAGTATTTTCTAGTAAACTTGAACGGATGATGACACTGACTCCTTTTCTACAGGTTTACCAAAATATTCAAAGTGAGCATAGTAACTTGGGAGTACCTTGTCAATAGCTTAAAAAAGAAAGGGGAAAAAACGCTGCAAATGGGGAAAAAAAAAAAAAAAGTAGTTACTGAGACTTAAATGGCAGTATATCATGATGATCATTTTGATGCAAAGAAATGTGCAAGTGCCTAAGGACTGCATTGACATGCTTTGGTTTCTGGCAAGTCACATGTCAGTGTTGCTTCCCTCCCCGCCCCCCCCTTTAATCCCACAGGCTACTTTGACATGTTTTTAATGCTGTAAAATAATCTCTTACACTCAGCCATGTACCAGAACATTGAGCCTAAAAATAGTAATCTATAATACATTTGCTGAGCTAATGCTATCCAAGCTTACTTTAAATCAGAACAAAATACTACTTGAAGAAAGGACTTTTAAAAAACTAGTTTTAGTTTTCAAAAGTTGCACTTCAATTTTTTAGAAATGAAACTAATAGTTGAAAAATTGTTTTCTTTCATGGATGAAAATATACTATGGGAAATGTTTGCAGTTTAAATGGTATTCCACTTAAGATATACATAACTTTTTTTTTTTTTAAATCCCCAACGTTTGAACATAAAAGGCTTAAGAATGACGCAAAAAGAATTTGTGGTTTTATTTTTCTACTGAGCCTACCCAAGACAAAAACGGATGTTTTGAGAAAAAGGTTTCAAAGAAACTTTCTAAAGAAAAGTTAATTCACAACTGTAGTTCTATCATGTCAAAGATAATTTCCTCCAAATTCTCTGAAAAAGAATGTTGTATTTGTGCATTTTTCTAATTCTAAACATGCAACACATTGCTATTATAATAAAAGGTCCACCGTACTGGAAGTTCAGGAACTCATTTGTAATTTAAAAAAAAAAAAAAAAAAAAAATCAAGAACAAGTTTTAACTAAATTCCACTAGAAAGTTTTGGAGGGAAGAATATGCCAGCAATCAGCACTAATACTAATCATGATCTAGAGATGCCTCCCCCAGTAATAGTTAAGTATGATTAGAAAGGTTTTAGGGGTGGTGGTGTTGCCCACCCAGTAGCATTCCTGTCCTGGGGATAAGTGCTCCTTGTGTTCTTGTGCTGCAACTATCAGAGCAGGGTGCTGGGCAGGCACACGTGTTCAGACAAAGAAAGCACGGACAGTGTTCCGCTGACCTAGCTTTCAAGGCAATAAATGAGACTG